TCCCTTACTGTACCCGGGTCACTGAACAACTGGGGAAAGGTTGATCGTTTCGAAGCAGACTTCGGGGTTCTTTACTTTTTCTGACCAATCTTCTCAGTTGCCCCACTTGCAGGAGGCGTAGCATGGACAGACATCTATGACGACTAGGCCTGGTTGGAGGAGGAGGACCCCTTCTGATTGACATGGCCATGGTCAAAACCTCGTACCCCCTGTGAACATGGATATTTGCATGGCAGCATCTTTATTCTTGAGTTCTTGAGTGATCAAGGCGCTGGACGGAAAAACAACGCGGTGTAAATGCCCATTGCTTCGTTTGCTCTGCACGCAGTGCATGCCGATGTGGTGTTGTGCTCACCAGAGGACTGGCGATGCAGGCGAGGACACAGCAATGAGGAGCACACCCTCTGTTCACTTTGAGAGGTGCCGGTGTGCTACAAGTGCTGGCATGCGCTGGAGCAAGCGCAGCCCACCCTGCCGCTGCGGTGTCTTGCCAACGACATGTGAACAGGCTGTGGATCCTCCTTGGTGTACGAGCTACGGGCTACCTACATGGAGGTGCTGCTTGCTTCGCCCTGTATGTGTGCTTTGTCTCGGAGGTGGGACGTCGAAATGTGCTACAAGAAAAAGCGCAGCTGCAGCACCATCGTTCAGGCAGGTTCTGGCAAAACGGTCGGGAAGGTGCTTAGACAGCAACGGCGTGCGCGTGGGTCGTTTCTCTGTGGGGGGGTTGCCTGCCAGGGGCCCGTGGGAACATCACCTTGTTTCCGCTGCCGCTGTGTACGAGGTCATGAAGCGGCAGGACGCGCAGCTGCCTCACAGCCCCGCAGTCTTGGCAAACGCAGTCCGTGTTGTTCTGAAGGCTGCCCCGGCGGAAACAGCTCGGGTGATTGCTCAGGCATGCGTGCGAAGAGACGTGGTTGTGGCTCTCATCGAGGATCGGGTGCAACGCAAGCACCCAGCACACACGCACCTTGAGGTGCGCGAGAGCTACCTGTGTCGGGCCCTCTTCTGGAGCTGGTGTCTTCTGTGGAGTTCGACAGGTCAGGGGATGCGTTGCGACCGCTGAAGTGCTCGACCCCAACGGCGGCCGGTGGATCCGTGGAGGAAGCGTTCGTTGGGCTGCGCTCCTCGGCAACGCAGGGCAGGGAGGCGAGGGAGTATCCTATGTAGGCATGCGCGTGCGGAGGCACCAGTGTGGTGAGTTGCGATCAAGACCCGGACGAGAGCGTCATGCTGGGCTAGTGGGCGGCCACGCATGGCAAGATGCAGGAGCTGGCCAGTCAGGCAACGAATGCGATTCATTTCCAAAAGCATGCAAGTGTTCTACGGGCTGCCTGTCTTCACGCGGCTCCAGACGAAAAGCACTGTGGAATCATGTTTCGAATGATGCGGACTCGCGCCACGGATCCGGCGTTTGCCCATGTGGATGGTGCAGCTAGCTTTGGCTTGCGGGAGAAGCCGTGGCTCGACACGGTGGTGGCAGGGCAACTTCCCGCGTATTCGGCTCGCAGGTGAACCGTGAATCCTGTCTGCCCCCTTTTGACAAATGTGCAACAAGTGCGTGGGAATCCTTTTGGTTTCGACGCAAAAATCGCCGCACTCGGTGCGAAGCAAAAGTAGAAGGGGCCTCGGCCAATGCGAAAAGACATTCATCAAGCTTGAGCTTTCTTGGCACCGCTTAAATTAAGCCGGGGGGGTCGAAACATGCGCTTACTCTGAAGGACATTGACATGGGAAATTGCTGAGTGCCCAACGTCTTATGGACTTATTTTGCGTTCAGTGTGGAGGGAATGTTGTTGAAGCCACACTCCCACCAAATGCTGGCATGCTGGCCCAATGGACTTACGCCTGCAGAGCGCTTGATGACAATTACAACCAAAGTGAGCCTTGGGCGATTCCACTTTCAGACGAACATTGACAAAGACCGTGGCAACGTGCAGGGCCCGGTGTGAAAATACAATCTTCAATACCTGAAGACCCCAATACACAAAGCCTACAATACCAGCAAGCACGCAGCAAAACTAAAGGGAACATTGCAGTGTCTCTCCCGATGCAACGAAAAATGCCCCAACGGCTCGCTTGAGTGTCCCGCTCACAACCTGGCATCAACTTGTGGTCTGCCCAAAGCCTTTAAACAAAAAAAGGCATGCCCACGGCTGGTTGCAAGAACGCACTTGGCTCCTTACATGGGCCGAGATTGGATGCTTGGTTGAACGGCTCACATGGAGTCTTGCTGGCGCTGGGGCGCCACAATTCGGATGTCCAACTTCCTCAACGGCTGCCAACCCAGAGCGCAACGCACTGTCAGGAGTGTCACGAGCCCTGTGTGAGCTCCGTGAGCACCAGTGAGATATCGCGTGCAGCACAGACAGCGCAGGCTGGCACAGAAGCCCGCGGCCGCGGCAGTAGGGTTCCGTGTGCACCTCGCGCTGATCCTGAGAGCGGCATTTGGCCTCAGTTTCTGCTTGCACTCCCCCCGCTTTGCACAAGGCTGCGGATGAGTCGCTGCGCTGCGACCTGCTCGGAAACAACAGCAAAACCTGCATCAGCACACATCGCTGGAAGACATCGGCAAGCTTCTGGAAAACACGAACCAGAAGATTACGGAGGCCTATCTGCATTTCAATTCTCACGCATGCAGGCGTGCGCAAGACCGGAACGATGGACAGAAGCTGCCAGGAACGAGGTAGAGACGAAGTGGCCTGAGATTCGTGATGAAATGGACCTTCTCCTCGTTCCGGCCTTTGTTGGGGAACGCGACGAGCACGACGCGGGCGGCGCAGCATGGCTGAGGAAGTATCATCTTCAAGGTGCAGTCGCATCGACAGCACCACATTCATCTTCCAGATCACATTACTCCACGGACTACAAGATGCAGGGCGTTGCTCTGCATGAGTGTTGCGAGCAAGGGGAGCTGCAGGAAGCGCCGGCAGGCTACATTTCGCGGCGTCACACGCAGCGCGTCACCGCAGACTGCTTCTCCCGTGGCTGCGTGCGCGGCAGCTAGCCCCGTGTTTGCGATGTGGTTTTGGAAAGGGCTGCAGAAGATGTGCTTTTGTTAGGCGCAGGGGTTTCCGAAAAGGGTTCTATGCTTCGGCGGAAAGGAGAACCTGAACATGCATGCCACGAGCGGGCACAATCCTTGCAGAACGGAGATGGTGACAACGTTCCCTTTTGTAACAGCTCGAGGGCAGGACTTCTTGCAGCTGGTCGAGGACGGGCACTGCGAGACAGTGCTGCGAATGCTGCGCTACACCACGCACACCGACTTTTCCAGGAAAGGGGAGGAGGTGGAGTTCCAACATCAAGGGCTCTTGTACGGTTTCCGCGGCGAGGACAACAGAGTGCGGTATCTGTCCCCGTACGAGTCGGTGCGCGCCCAGGTCAGCCCGTTCGCGGCGAAAGCTGCTCTGTCGGGTGTCTGGAAAACCACTGGCATGGAGGTCGTGGCCACTGTATACAAGCTGGGGCTCTTGTGCGCGAAGCTGTTGCTTGCACGGGAGCTGATGCGGCTAGGTGTGGACCCTCTTGATGATGCGGCGGAGGCGCTCTGAGCGTCCGGGAGTACCGGTGGATCTTGGAGAAGGTCACCCCGTGCGCCGGGGCAACGGCCCGCCTGCGCATGGAAGGAGAGCAAGTCGGGCAAATGTAGCGGGATACGCAACCGGCGTCTCTGGACGCTGCCGCGGATGCAGCACCAGCGCAACATTCGCATCTCGGAGCCTGCTTTGAACGCTCCAGGCCTGGAGTTGGTGAAGCTGATCCGGATTTGGCTGGGTTGCCTGCAGAGGAGCTTGGACGTGCAGAGGTCCGCTGAATGATGTTGCTTGAGCCAGGTATCTCTGGCCAGCGCGTTCTCCCACCCGCGCATTCTGACTGCCCTGGCAGCTTGCCAGAGTTTAAGTTTGGCTGCTTTGCCTATCTCGGCAGGCGGCGCCAGAGAATTCCGAGCAACACGGGCTTGGGTCCAGCAGGTAGCTGCAACGGCAAGGCGGGGAATTCGGAATAGACAGCTAGCTCAGACCAGCAGCATGTTCTGCTCGGACGCATGCATCGAGTAAGGGCTGTCGGCAACGGAGAAACCGCTTGCCGCCTAAGCTAAAGCGCAACCGCGCCTTCCTGCGCGCGGGCACGACCCCGAAGCACTTGGAGCGGAACGTGGCTTGGCAAAAGACACGCGGGCGGCTGCACCGAGTCATTGCGGGAGCCGAGGCCGTGCTACACCGTGCCAAGACTGACTGTAAGCGATGAGCAACGGTTTGGGCGGAGCAGGGAGAGCTGGCTGTGTAACTAGTAGCAAGAATCGCGGATGGCAAGGACTGCTGGGGTTGCCGCGAACGTGTGCGTGGGATGCAACTGCAGACACCAGGTCAATGTGGCAAGCGGTACAGTAGCACCATGGAGCGGGTTGCCGTCCTCGGCTGTAAAATAGTTGGAAGTAGCCCTCAGAGCTGATTTGATGTGTCATTGAGAGTGAGCACATGCAGAATACTTCCAGGCACACAAGCGAAGTTGCGACTGCGCATGAACACGGCAGACCCGAAAAAGAGTTGCCCTGAGAATTCAGAGGGCTTGCATTCTTCTTTGAATCTTTTCTCGAAATATGTGGGTCCGCGAGGAATCACCATTACTCCACAGTACCAGGGACATCGGACTCTCTTGCAAAATAGATCCAGGGACCACTTACAAGATCCTCTACTACCATGAGGATTCACGGAAAGGTCAGAAAGATGCAGGGGACTGGGAGGTTTCCCTTGTTGTCCTACTTTCACTATACTGCTGCCCTCTCTTGACAGGGGGGCCCCTCCAAGAGGAAGCTGATCTTCCAGGTGCCCTTTCACAGGTGCCTTCTGGCAACGTGGAAGAAATGGTAGGATTGTTGTTTTTCCACTGTTTTCTTACATTCCCTGATTATTTCACCACTGCTAGGTATTTTTCATTTCTCCAAAAAACCGTCCGTCGGCGTCTTCCCCCGGTGCTCCGCCCGCGTTCGCGTTCAGCCCTGGAGCAGCTCCGGAAGGAGCTGGCAGCGGCCAAGGCGTGAGACGTCGGATCTCGTCGGGCGGTGGCTCCCGGGGTTCTCCTCAGTTCCCTTTTGAAGGAGCTGAAAGGGAACAACTAAAATTTGAAGGGAATCTCCTCAGTTCTTTTCAGTTTCCCGGGAATCTTCTCCCTTAATTTAGAAGGGGCTAGATAGCCAAGTCGCGATCGCGTTTTTCAGTCACTGTCGCGATCGGTTGGGGTAAAGTGCATGGAACAAAACTGGCGATCCAGGAATCCATTTAAGTCTTGGGCTTGAGTCACTTTGGCGCGACCTCTTTTTTTGGTCCGAGGTAAAGTTTGGACTCAGGACTGGGGTCTACTCAAAGGAGTTTCGGTGTGACCTTTTGGATTTGCTTTCGGTGTCACTCCGAAAAGTGCAAATCGCAAGTAGATACATGGCTTTTCCAGCAAGCCGACAAAAGGTTGGGCCTTCTGGCAGCAACAATGCTGGGGCCCCCCGCGTGGTGTAAAGGTTTCGTGAAGGCAACTCAGTATGAGTTCGGCCCGTCTTTGTGGCTATTGGGCTGCATGGATCTTTTACCCAGCTAAATTGTGTCAACTTCTTGGTTTTGGTCGGTTCTTATTTGGGTGGGTTCAAACAACACCTTCCTGGGCTTTCTGGCAATTTGCTTGGATGGCTGAAGCTTTGTGGATTTTCCGCGTTGGACCCCACAAAAAGTCAAGCTTTTTTGCAGAGGGAGGGGTCGTTGCAGCAACCAAGGAAAGGCAGGTTTCGGGATCCAAGAAAGAAGGGAAAGGAAGCAAGGAAGGTGCACTCATCGCCAGTAAGAATGAAGCCGGAGGGGGTGGTGGGGAGGGTGGGTGGTGTGAGGTGGGGTGGGGTAGGTCAGGGTCCCCTGCTTCAAGGGGATGGATTTGCATCAGCCAAGCCATGAACTCATGTGCTGTCCTTCCTGATGGCTTTCTAGACCCACCACCAGGCCATTGAGCCTCTGGTTCCCAAGTTGAGTCTGATATATCCGCGACTCGACGATCTCATTATTCCAAGAATATCCCAAGGAATTCAACCCACAATCGCTTACACATGTGGTTTTGTTCTCTCTAAAGCTTGAAAAGTTCTGAAAATTGTGGGGGTCTCCTTGCCATGGTTTCATTTCGTTTTGCGATTTGATCTCGGAACCATCGACCGACATCCAGGCCCAGGCCGCCGATGCGGACCGCGTGCTGCAGGCCAACAGCTCACCTTCGGTCGCTGTTGGGATTTGTTGGGCGATCGACTCGGTACAGGGAAGTGATGAGTATGCCTGGTTTTTTCGCCCACAAAAGCCATGCTCATAAGCCTCCGTTCTTTAGCCCACAAAAGCCATGATTAAAAGCCTCCGTTCTGGGCTATGGCCAGGCTTGCTAACCACTTACTAAGTTAAGTACTCAGCCCCTGTAGGCTCGTCGAAAGAAAGAGATTTGGAGCCCCCCAAGATGGGTGGCTTCCTTTTGGTTGTGCTCTAAACCAACGCCAAAAAGGGTACTTAAACAAAATCAGAACCAGCAAAAGCACATGGCTGATTTGAGTGACGTCAACCGAAGCATCCGATGTAGTTTTGGATACGGCCAGCCTCGTGCTTGTTTGTTTTGCAAGGGCAGCGATGCACTGCAGGTTTGCAACATGGAGGGCTGCTTGGATTTCTTGCATGTGCATTTCTCTTTGTTACCGGCAGCAAATGCGAGCATGGGGGGAGCAAGCTTACTTGCCGATGGTTGCCCGGTGTTGGGTTCAGGGCTTAGGGTAGCCTCTTTTTCAATTGTTTCAGTACATTTCTTGGGTGTGTCGGGTTTGTCTCTAAATGAGGAAGCCCCAGAATGGATGAACCCTCCCAAATGGTTGAGATTATTTTGGTTTCCTGTAAAACTGCCCTAACACGGACAAATTTCATTATCCTGAGTTCCTCGACTATAGTAACGTTTGGGTTTAGACCATTTCAGTGGCAAACAAACAAAGTGGACTTTTGTTGGCCCATACACGGCAGAGAGCTTCAGACGGCCCCCCTCTGAGGAGCGTGATGCGATGAAGGCAGAGCTGGCGAGCACAAAGGCTACGGAGGCAATGGTGTCGAGTCAGCAAGTGGTAACCTGACATGGATCTGATTGGATATGTATGTAATTAGGGGGACCTGAGAAGTGGTGCTTGTCCAGTATGCTTCCCTTTCAACAAAGGCGTGAAGGGTACCCTCAAACAACACAAGTATATTAGTGATAAAGGGAATAAGCAACAAACAAACTAAAAATGAGAACTGGATGAAGAAACATCATCAAGAGAACAATGTGCCTTTGAGAATCGAAGCTCGCAAGCCTGGAGCCCGTTCATAAATGTATGTACCGTTATGTCAAACATATCAGAGACAAGCGCACGACGCGGCATGACCGTTGCATTATACAGATTCAGGAGCAAACAATCAAGTAATACGTTTGTGTCTTCAAGGGCGGTTCTGCAACTTTATAACGACGTGGTCACAATTGTGGGCATTCTGCTGCAAAAGTTATATATATATATATAATTATATGCACAGGTTGTATGTGCAAAAGCTAGTCTAGCAAACAAGCTTCAAGCACAAATTCTAGTACTGCGCCTTGTAAAACCTCAGTCACATCGTACAATCTGAGCAGCCAATGTTTGGCCAGTGCAAGTCTTTGTAAAGAGGAGGGCGCGCTTGTGGGTTTCAACACGCGAACACGTGACGAGAGGTTCATGGAATATGTCGGCCATTTCTCTGGGCAAATTAGAACGACATCACCTTCCGAGTGGGTTTGCGACAACACCCATGATGAAGATTTTGCTTCATAGGCCCAGTTGCCCAGTGGCACCCTTTTTCTCTTTTTTTTGGGGAAGGGTTCCCCTTGGAAGGGTTCCCTTAAAACTCAACCAATCAAAAAGGATGCCCTTTTTTTTCCGCATGGAAATCCACTGGGCATCTGAGTAGGGAGCCCTTCAAGTTTCCGTTTCCAGAAACGCCAGGCCGCGGTGCAAGAGGAGCTGGCTCGGTTGAAAGAGGAGCTGGACAGCGCTCAAGCTTCACAGGCGCGCAGGCCAATCGCTAGATTCAACTCAACAAGCGGTCCCCCAGCTAGGTGCCTTTCTCACCCAACTTTTTTGGTTGGGAGGGGGAACCCCCTACTAAAATAGTTTCTGCAGAAAGAAGTTGGGACCCTTATTCTAACCTTTCTACTGGAGGACCTAGTCAACGATCTCTGCAACCGGCTCTGTGACCAGGTGTTTTCTTGGTGCTCAGTAGGGAATGAGGGAATGAACCCAGCAATCCCCTTGAAGGAATCCATGAGTTGGATGGTTTATAAGGGTCATTTCCACATTCCCTGCGCACCAGCAAGTTCTTCTTGCTCCCATTCATGAGCACCTCGGATCTAAGTAGAACCCCTGCTTGATTTTGATTGGGGGATGGCCCTTGTTGGGATTCAGACCGCTTTTGGAACGATCCAGGGTCAAATTGGAAGCTTTCTGTGGGATTTGCAAAAGGGATCTTTGAAGCGGCGGAGCCGGAGCTTGAAGACTGTCTGCCTTGTGCGAGCGCGCCCACACACACACACACACGTTTGAAATGTATGCACTTGGCTGGTTGTTGGGAATAAAGTGAGCGCCCGAGCGACCTACTGGCGATTTTAGGTGGTTCTACATCCTGGAAATCAAGGGAATTTCATAGTAAAGCTCAAAGAGACACCATCTTGGTCGAGCCATGTGAGTGGTATTCGAATCCTGGCCCTTTTACCAAAGGTCACTGTTCAGGTAACTCGTAGTTGGTGGTTTGGGTTGGTGGCATGGCTTTTGTAGAGGGTTAATGGGAAACCACCACCCAACCACTAAACGACTGCGCTCCAAACTACCCTTTTCGAGAGAAACTGACCATTTGCTGAAATGAATATCTGTCATTGTTTCCTGAAGGGAATCTACTGGACATATTCCAACCAAACCAAACCATTAAACTAGCGGTAAGCTGATGGCCAGAAATCAGATTGCCATACGTGGGTGTGTGTGTGTGTGTGTGTTTCGCTTGAGGTATCCCTTGCCAGGGCTGGGTTACAATAAAACCAACGCAACGAAACCAAAGCCCAACACCTGGAACCCTTCTATTTGCTGACATGAACATGTGTTATTCTCCCTTGTCGGTTTTAAGTGGAATTTGTATCACTCCTGCTAGTATTTGTTTTCGTCTTTTGCCAGGGGTCTCCACCAAATGGAAGCCCATATTCATCAACCCCAGTTTATTAATAAACCCAGGGACACCCCCGTATTAATAAAGAGGGGCTGGCTAATATGGGGTCAACCGGGTTCCGGTCGTCGCCCGACCCGCAGCGAAGAACCGCAAAGTTTGGAGGCCGCCCTGCGAGATGAGCTGGCGAGCGCCCAGGGAGCAGAGGCGCGGCTTCAACTGACTGGGCCATTGGCGTTTTTTTTGTTTCTCCTTTAAAAAAAAAACAAAACAATGTGCGTGATGTTTTCCTCTTGTTGTCGTTTTGGTGTTTTACCCAAGGAACCGGTACCTCATTTCTGGAGTTTATGAACTATTTGAGCCGCAATCAAAACCCGGCCAGAAGGAGGTTAGTAATACACAATCCTAACCATAACTAGCTGCGGAAACCCGCCTTCTCAAGTCTTTACATGCTGTTGGGTCGACGTTTTCAATACCGGGTTTTTGATTATGACTCATTTGCGGTGGTTGTGTGATGTTTTCCTTTTTTTTTTTCCGAAGGAACCGGTACCTCATTTCTGGAGTTTATGAGCTATTTGAGCCGCAATCAAAACCCGGCCAGAAGGAGGTTAGTAATACACAATCCTAACCATAACTAGCTGCGGATATCCGCCTTCTCAAATCTTTACATGCTGTTGGGTCGACGTTTTCAATACCGGGTCTTTGATTGTGACTCATTTGCGGTGGTTGTGTGATGTTTTCCTTTTTTTTTTTCTCCGAAGGAACCGGTACCTCATTTCTGCAGTTTATGAACTATTTGAGCCGCAATCAAAACCCGGCCAGAAGGAGGTTAGTAATACACAATCCTAACCACAACTAGCTGCGGATATCCGCCTTCTCAAGTCTTTACATGCTGTTGGGTCGACGTTTTCAATACCGGGTTTTTGATTATGACTCATTTGCGGTGGTTGTGTGATGTTTTCCTTTTTTTTTCCGAAGGAACCGGTACCTCATTTCTGGAGTTTCTGAACTATTTGAGCCGCAATCAAAACCCGGCCAGAAGGAGGTTAGTAATAGACAATCCTAACCACAACTAGCTGCGGATATCCGCCTTCTCAAGTCTTTACATGCTGTTGGGTGGACGTTTTCAATACCAGGTTTTTGATTATGACTCATTTGCGGTGGTTGTGTGATGTTGTCCTCTTGTTTTGTTTATTTTTCCGAAGGAACCGGTACCTCATTTCTGCAGTTTATGAACTATTTGAGTCGCAATCAAAACCCGGCCAGAAGGAGGTTAGTAATACACAATCCCAACCACAACTAGCTGCGGATATCCGCCTTCTCAAGTCTTTACATGCTGTTGGGTCGACGTTTTCAATACCAGGTTTTTGATTATGACTCATTTGCGGTGGTTGTGTGATGTTGTCCTCTTGTTTTGTTTATTTTTCCGAAGGAACCGGTACCTCATTTCTGGAGTTTATGAACCATTTGAGCCGCAATCAAAACCCGGCCAGAAGGAGGTTAGTAATACACAATCCTAACCATAACTAGCTGCGGATATCCGCCTTCTCAAGTCTTTACATGCTGTTGGGTCGACGTTTTCAATACCGGGTTTTTGATTATGACTCATTTGCGGTGGTTGTGTGATGTTTTCCTCTTGTTTTGTTTACTTTTCCGAAGGAACCGGTACCTCATTTCTGGAGTTTATGCGCTTGGACCGTTAGAGTGGGAGCCAACAAGTCTTCCGGAGTCAGGAGGTGACGTACCCCAAATTGCTTGGTTTCCTTTGGATTGCCTTGTAATGCTGAAAGAGGGTCCACCATCCTTAAACACACGCAATGTGTGTGTGTGTGCGTGTGTGTGTGTGTGTGTGTGTGTGCGTGTTTTTTATAGGAGTTGGTACCCTCTTTGGGCTTGCTTCAAAGGGAACCCTGTTTTTTTTTTGAGTGTATCTGTCTTGGGGTAATCAGGCATAAAGGGAAACCACAAGGAAAGGTTTGGGGCTTGGAGAACCAAATCCCTATCTTAACAGGCCGCGGGCATTTGCAAGTCCTGATTGGAACTTGTGAATCGAATTTGCATGAATCCCATTGGACCACAAGTATGCTGAACGTCTGTCCGCGGTTCCGCAGAACAAAAGTTTGGGCTTGGGCTTCGAGAAATCTGCCTAAACCTTTGACTTGGACGAAATCCATTTCGCACCACCCAAGAAGTGCTGGAATGAGGATTCCCCTGTAAATACCAACAAAGAATGGGAACACACGGGAAACAGGAGAACAAACCAGGTTTGGACCTCACACGACAATCTATGGTGTTTATCCAACACGTGGGTGTGGCTCAAAATTGAAGAGCTAGGGTTACGCAAATGTTTAGTCTTTGGTTCCATTTGCCAAGGGTGCGATGTTGGTACATGTTTTTGAACCACATCCATGTCCCCCTGTTGGTCTATGGTTCATTCCGGAAAAACCGAGAACGAGACATTTCGAGCCAGGGGGAATAATGTTGACCGCTCGTGATTATTATTACTAGTGTTATTATTATTACTATTATTATTACTCTATATATATATATCTATATGTTAGTCATTATGTATTATTTGTTTGTTTTTTTATTTATTTAGTTATTTGTTTATGTAGTTACTTATCTTATTTTTTCACTTATGTATTAGTTAATCATTATGTATAAGCTAGTATTTATTTACTTGTTTGTATTTATTACTTGTTTGTATTTATTATGTATTATTTATTATGTATTATTTATTGTGTATTATAAAATTGTATTATTTGTTTAAGTACTTAGTTAGCAATTATGTATCGTTATTATTTATCGCCATTATTATTATCATTACTTAGTATTATTATTATTACTATCATTATTATTAGTGGTATCATTATTATTCCCCAGATAGCTGAAAGCTATAGGGGTTCTAACTTTTCATAAAGAGGGGGAAGTGATTTGCGAGATTGACGGCTGGGTGCTAGGGGGCGTGTAGTTGGTGGTGCAGATGTTGTTAGGGTGTGCTGTTTGGGCAGCTGTGGTGCGGGTGACAGTGCGGGCACAATTTTGCAAGATTGACCGGGTGCTTTTGGGCATGCAGTTTGGGGTGCTAGTGCAGGTGCTGTTTTTGGGAGTGCTGGTGACGGTGCGGGCGCATTTCTACAAGATTGGGGGCAGGGTGCAGGGGGGGTGCTGTTTGGGGGTGCAGCTTGGTGCGGTTTGGGGTGATGCAGGTGCTGTTTTGGGGTGTGGCGTTTTTGCAAGATTGATGGCAGCGTGCTTGGGGGCATGGAGGTTCGGGTGCTGTTGGGGGTGCGGTTAGAGGTGCTGGTGTGCAATCCTCCGCCTGTGTTTTGCTATTTGGGGTCTACGCTGGTGTAATTATTATTTGTTATTTATTATTATTGTTCTTTTCATTATTATTATTTTAGTAGTAGTAGTAGTAGTAGTAGTAGTAGTAGTAGTAGTAGTTATAGTAGTAGTAGTAGTAGTAGTAGTAGTAGTAGTAGTAGTAGTAGTAGTAGTAGTAGTAGTAGTAGTAGTAGTAGTAGTGGTAGTAGTAGCAGTATGCGCTTCTGGTTTTAAAGGGTAACGATTTCACTCTTGGACACATATTCACTTGTTTTTTCCATTGGGCGCATCGGCAATGGAGGCTCTGCTTTGCATTCCGAGAGCTGAAGGTCGTCCTGTGCCAATGTCTGACCTGCCTGCTGGGCTTTTGGTTGGCATATGGGGTTGCTGGCGGGGGCCCGAACAAGCTGCGGTTCAAACTGATGTCATTGAGGATGCTGGGGTCTCCTTGGAAAGTTTGCGTCATCTGTTTTGGGGTGGACTAAATATGCTAAAGGGTCTTTACGTGTACCCGAGATGATGGCCAAGTATGGAGGCTCTCAGGACGTTCAGATTCTCTACTGGTCAGGCCCAAGCAGCTCAAGATCGGGCAGCATGCGAGGCACGAGATGATTTGCATGGTGTCCACTGGGAAGGAGCCTCTTTCCATTGTTTCACTGAGTGCTGCAGTACTGCTGTAGATTTGGTCGCCTTTGAACTTTGAGTGACAAGGTAAAGGAACAGGGAGCTGCTGTGAAGAGGCAATCAAGCAAACTTGCCCGAATGCGCTGAATGTAAGTCGGTGGAGCTGTTGTAGAGTTGTTGCACCATTGGGGCAAATGGTTTACTTGGTGGTTCAATCATCTACCAGGGCCATCGATTTTGTTACAACAAGGGCACCTATGGCTCGACAAGGCTCGTACGCATAGGTCTAGTTTTGTTTCATCATCTACCGGGGCCATCGTGTTTCTACTAAAAAGGACACCTACCTGGATCGCCAGTTGCTGTTCTTTTTTTTCATGCACTTTATCCCAAGAACCGATCGCAACAGCGACTGAAAAAGCGATCGCAACTTGGCGATCTAGGTAGATGCAAAAAGGACGCCTCTGCTCGCAGGGGTCCGTTGTCCCCGTGCTGCCAGGCGGCTCAGGCGGAAGTGGCAAGCTTGAAGGAGGAGCTGGCAAGCGCGAAAGACTCCGAGGCGCAGCGATGGAGTCCCGTCCCTTTCGGATGGTTCCCAGCCATCCGGTTCCTTGGGTGCTTAGGTTTGTAGGGTTTAGTGGTTGGGTTTCCATTGGTTCCTTAGGTGTTTCAGGTTGTTTTAGGTGGCTTTGTGGCTGGGTCTCCATTTACCCCGTAAATGTTGAGCTGTTCGCGGATCTGAGGACTGCCCCGCCCTTGAAGCCCTTTGACAAGGGCGGGACAACATGAAAGCAGCTCGTAACAGATCACCTAGCAGCCGGCTAGGCATCCTCGGGGTAGAACGAGCCTGACGTTGAATGATGTTGTGCTTGCGTTTTGTTTTATTGGTACTCGTAATGTGGCACACCGACATGAACAGTGGATTTTCAGGCAGAGCCACTGTTGGTGTTGCTTCGGCTGAGAGGTACTCGACTGGGCTTGTCACTTCTCTCACTCAATGGTCATGAACATGTTGGACAACGTTCCGTTTTTGTTTGACCATGCCCGTCACGTCCTTCACCAACTTCAGCTTCCCTCGAAAAGGGTGGTTCGGAGCCCTCTGCAACAAGCAGGTTCAAAATCCCCAAACCCCCAAATTCAAACCACCCAATTCAGGGGTACCTGGAATATGGACCCGGCAAAAACAAGAAACCGTCCTATGATTGGGGCCTCCAGAAGTGATGATCCCCACAAAAACGGGAGCCCCCTTCTCATTCTCCCTCCAAAACTGGACTTGTTTCACAAAAGGGAACCCCCCAAAAAGTGTGGTTTCCATTTGGTTTCCCAATAAAGCCAAGCAAAAGTGGCTGCGGCGCGCGGTTCGCGACTGCGCGAACCTTTGTCGGTTTCTGGGGGCCAGGTGGCGGTTCAAGCGGAAGTGTCCAAGCTGAGGGAGGAGCTCGAAAGCGCAAAAGGCGCTGAGGCTCGGAATGGCGTGGGATGAAGTTGATGGCGCGAGTGTCTCCCAGACACGCACACAACCAGTCACTTTGGTGCATTTTGCCAAGGGATGATAGGACTCAACAACTTTTCGCCAAATGGGTTTTCCGTATTAAACCACTTTTAGCAGGGGAGCAGAAAGCAACCGAGCAGTGGTGCCCTGTTCTCCTTTTCTAGTTTTGTGGGAAACTGCAACATCTTCCGAAAAGCAAGCAATCGGGCAGGCAAGCAAGCAAGCAAGCAAGAATGCAAGCAAGCACTCATGCAGGCTTGCAGGTCACGCCGAACAAGTGGACAGGGCACTAGCTGAAATATAAGTTGTCGCACGTCGGTTTATTCTCGAAGCCCATTGGTGGCGGTCTGTGCCCTTCAGATCCTTTCCTGCAGTTCCTCTTTGAATCACACACACGCACAAAGAACCCCCCAGTGGCCATGGGAAAAGGGCCACGCATTTTTTGGGGAAGTCGTTTTTTTTTGTTTTTATTTTTGCATTTTTGGAAGGATGGAAGGAAAGACGAGCCATTCAAATCTTGCACTGCAGAGGGCGGGTGAAGCCCTCGGCTCGCTCATCGTTTCAATCGGCCTGAGCACTTTGTCGGAGCCATACTGTGGACTGAATCCATTCGCACCACTTTGAAACGAGGGGAAACCATTTTTTGGTTTGCTGGTATTCACAGGGAATCATCATTCTAGGGTTTCTTAGGTGGTGCAAAATGAACTTCGCAACCATCCACAGCGTTCTGCGATGTTGCAAACTCCGCTCACGAAGATGTTGGTTTCGAGCGCTCAGCATGTCAATGGCTCGAGTTTTTATGCCTGTCGCTTTGGCTGAATGGTTTCATTACCTCCCCACGTTTAATTTTCCCCACAAAGGTCCACGACAGCAACACTAACACCTTGTGTGCCCCTTGACTTTCTTCCAAAGCCCGCAGCTTTGGGAACACTTGATGCTTGATTTGTCGCTGCAGGAATCGTCTCGTGACCCCAAAGCGTTGCGGGAGAGGATCAGATGGGCATTTGGTTGGCTTTTCCACTGGATCGTCCGAAGGCTCGACAAGGCTCGTACGCATAGGTCTAGTTTTGTTTCATCATCTACCGGGCCCTCGTGTTTTTACAAAGAAGGACACCTACCGGATCGCCAGTTGCTGTTTTTTTGTTCCATGCACTTTTCCCAAGCACCGATCGCAACAGCGACTGAAAAAAACGATCGCAACTTGGCGATCTAGGTAGGTGCAAAAAGGACGCCTCTGCTCGCAGGGCGCCGTTGTCCCCGTGCTGCCAGGCGGCTCAGGCGGAAGTGGCAAGCTTGAAGGAGGAGCTGGCGAGCGCGAAAGACTCCGAGGCGCAGCGATGGAGTCCCGTCCCTTTCGGATGGTTCCCAGCCATCCGGTTCCACTCAAGAACCCCCTGGCATGATGATTCTCCCGACAATACCAGCAAACAATGGCTTCCCATTGTTTCAAAGTGGTGCAGGATTTCGTCCATCCACAGTAGGTCCCCCAGAACTGCCCTTTTATACTTTTTGGGGAGGGTTCCTCTACTCAAATTGACTACAGAAAAAAAGTTGGTACCCTTTTTTCTAACCTCTCTACTGGAGGACCTTGGGTCCTAAGGTGTTTTGCGTGTTTAGGGTTTTGTGGGGTCTCCATTTAACCCTCTAAATGTTGAGCTTCTAGCGGGGGATCCGGGCCCAGAATTGAAGCTCTTTAAAGGTGGGACAACATGAAAGCTGTGCAGATCAAGCAGCAGCCCATGTGTGTCGACAGATTTGAGGATCCAAATGGTCGGAGTTGCTGTGAGCAAAAATCCAAGGGGAAGGGTACGGAAGTGTGCCCATTTCTAGTTGTTTTTTTTAGTAGTGCCCTTCTGTCCCCTTTTTTGGGGGAAGGTTCCCCTACGAAAATAGACTACAGAAAAAAAGGGTAGCCTTTTTCTAGCATCTTTACTGGAGGACGGATCATTTTGACACATTCCCATTGAAGCGGGCTAAATCTTCCCGGGGTAGAACGGGCCTGACGTTGAATGATGTTGTGCTTGCGTTTTGTTTTATTGGTACTCGTAATGTGGCACACCGACATGAACATTGGATTTTCAGGCAGAGCCACTGTTGGTGTTGCTTCGGCTGAGAGGTAAACGACTGGGCATTTGTTAATTGTGGCATTCTCAACGTCGCTCGGTGGTCATAAACATGGACAACAATATGTTTTTGTTTTGCCATGTCCATCATGTCCTTCACCAACCCTAAGCTTCCCTCGTTTGGTGGTTTCGAGAATGTTGGATTGCTGGTTAGTGGGGAACCCATTTACCCTCCACAACAAGCAGGGGCTCAAAATCCCCAACCCCCAAATCCAAACCACCAAGGGATACCTGACCTTTGATGTCCCTTTTGCCTTTGCGATAGCGAGTGTCTGTTCGACGCAGCGGTTTATTGGGTGGAGGGGGAAAGAAGGAGAAGGCCCCAAAAGCAAGCAAGTCAGTGTGTCCTGAGAGGCAAAAACCCACCGAACCCCAGGTTTTGGCTTTCGGCCGGTCGCGAACAGAACAACGCCGACCGACTCGGGCGAAACCGACTCGGCCAGGCGGCGGCTCAAGCGGAAGTCGCCAAGCTGCGGGAAGAGCTCGAAAGCGCAAAAGCCGCTGAGGCTCGGGGGAGGTAGAACTGGATGGCATGGGTTGTTCCAGACACCCAGTGGTGTGTGTTTTTTCCTTCTTTTTTTGTTCTTCTTTTTTTAGATAATTTGTTGGGTGCCTCTTTTTTTGGCATGGGGCGGGGATTTCTTTTAAACATGCACAACGACTAGCCCAAAAAATGAGTGGCCTTTTTCCTTTGGCCACTGGAGGTCTTTGTGTGTGTGTGTGATTCAAAGCGGAACTGCAAGAAAGAACATCTAAACATAGCCCCGACTTAAATTCCAATGCCATTGTCCCCTGACTTACTCATCTAGGTCCCCTAGTAGTGCCCTTTTACCCTTTTTTTCGGGGAGGGTTCTCCTACTAAAATAGACTACAGAAAAAAGTTGGTACCCTTATTCTAACCTCTCAAATCTGGAGGACCTAGTCATCTACAGCCAGGCTCAAGCTCTGCAAGATGTGGAGGCCCTGAAGGAAGAAGCGGCAGGTGTGCAGGCGGATCGAGTCGTTCAAGATCACATCGCGTTTTTTTGGCAAGATTCCATCCCAGAAACTGTTTTTAGTTGGTCCTGTGACGCATTGTGTTTTGGAAAGGATGAGTTTTATCCTGTGCGTGTTGGGGGGATGGTTTGTCCAAAGTCTTCTTTTGAGGCCTTGCAGGCTCAGAGAGGGCCGTGGGCTGCTACGAACTGAACTGAAGATACAGAAGACGCGCTTTGTCACCATTGGGGTTCAGCTAAATGAGCCGCAATCCACACTCGTGAAGGAGGTTAGTAAGGGATAGTCCAATTTGATTTCAGGTGTTGATTCTGACTGAATCGATGTGATTTTTGTGTATCCCTTCGCCGTCGGAAGGTTGAATTGAATCGTGCTCCGGACATCGGAATGTGTCCTTGGCCTGGTTTATGAATCTTGATTGCGGACCTGAAGTGGGGAATCTGGACATCAATCAAGAAAGTTCGGTGGGGATCCGCAATTCCAGAATCTGGTATCAAATGTGGATGTTTCCTTGGATCTTGAATCTGGACATCAAAGTTCGGTGGTTGGATTTGTGTCCAACCACTTTTGCGGGGATTCCCTACGCCGAGTTTCTTGGCGCCAGCTTGGCGCAGGGAAGCAACGCGGCGCGCTCCATGCGGGCCATGTCAGGCACTTCAAGAGCAAGTGGCCAGCATGAAAGCGGAGAGCGCTGCGTTGGAGGCACGACAAACAGGTCAGCAGGTCAGCAGGACAGGATCAGGGGCTTTTGTGGCGTACCCCCTTTATGTGAGTGCTTCATGCGGGATTTATATAAAGATTGATGGGTTGGGGACTTCATTGATGGGTTGGGGACTTCAAAATCATGAATTCCTTGAACTTTTTCGGGTGGTAAAAGTCTGGAACCCCAACTAGTACACCTTGTGTTTCCGTTTACCTCTATAGGAATCGCCGGGAAACCCTCATGTAACTAGAGGTGAACATCCTGGTTAGGTGAACATCCTGGTTGCATTTGGTTCCCTACTATAGGGGCAACTGGATCCACTGGGAGAGGTAATCTGTATCAGGGATGTCCCCATCGGAGGGGGATCCTTGTTTTATGCAAAGTCCTTGCCGGGAAAGCTTAACAAGCTTATCGGTTCTGCATGCGTCCCTGTGGAATGAGGCTGAGCAGAAAGATTCGAAGGCGGATGGGCCTCCGGCAAATCGGTGTTTCTATCAGAGAGTTACCTGCATGCCATCAGAACGTCAAGAGTGATTTGGCAGGCTGCGTCCATTCAATTTGTTGGTGCTGGCAAGCTTGTCCATTCCCTGCCGAAACTGATCACCGATCCGGGGTACACACAAACAGCGCTGCGCATGTGCCTGCCAAGCGAGACTCGTGCACTCACAACTCAATATTGCGGCTCAGCACTGCACATATGGCTGTGGGTCAAAACCAATGGGATCCCATTTTGGGGTAGGTGCACCACCCATTTTAGTCTATTTTAGTTGGGATTGGGATGTTCACTGGGGGTACGAGATTTTGACCCATGGCCATATTACAATATGCCTGCCAACTTCTACACCCCCTCAAAAAAAGCACTCACTCAGCACTGCTCACCCAGAGCAAACGACACGAGAGTGTGGCCGGATTGCACATCCTTGTGGCCAGTCAGGTCAAATCTAGAAAGCGCGCCTGACCACTTGCTGGAACCGAAGTAAACACTGATATTACAAGGGCTAAACCTAGATGCGTGCAACCAAGCATCATAGGCTACACGAGTGCCTGTCTTAAGTGTCGTACATGCACTGCCTTTGATGTATTACCCACTCAAATGATGTGGGTGTGCCGTTTTTTGAGGGACACCTTTTTTGGTTGGCTTTAAATAAAAACAATCGTAAAAATAATAATAATAATAATAATAATAATAATAATAATAATAATAATAATAATAATAATAATAATAATAATAATAATAATAATAATAATAATAATACTACTAATAACAATAACAATAACAATAATCATACTAATAATAATCATAATCATAATAATAATAATCATAATAACAATAATACAAACAGAAAAAACAAAGAAAAAAAACAGAAAAAAAACAACGATGCCAAGTTGTGGGGCCACAAAAAAAGAGGGCACCTCTATGATATCAGTTGGGCTGCGTGTTTTTTGGGTCTGCTGGACCCCCCGAAACAAATCAAAAGTGAGGCGCGCTAAAGAAGCGCGCGCGCGCGACAGGCGGCTCAAGCGGAGACGGCTCGGCTGGGCGAGGAGCTGGTCAGCGCCAAGCGCTCGGAGGCCGGGAAGTGCGGCTCGGCGGCTCTTTGCGCGGCTGGTGGTTGCTGCGACACCAAAAGGCTCAGGTGAGCCACTTGCTCCAAACCGCGGGGATTGGTGAAGGTTAGTAAGAGACAATCCCCTTGCCATAAATAGCTGCGGATATCCGCCTTCTTAATTCTTTACATTCTGGATCGACCTTTTGAAAAACCGGGTTTTGAGCAAGAGCCTCAGGTGGACATTCTGGAAACAAAGGCCTTCGCCGGAAAACGTACAAAAGGTCTAACGGCCTTTTGCTCAACCGCTTTTTTTGTTAGAGAGTTCCACCCTTCAGCACGGTCAGAGCACTTTCAAGAGTGGATAAACACATGCCCTTCATATTTTAAGTTGTGTGTTAACAGCGCAAGCTCGCAAATATGAATATACACGGCGAATGGAAGCAAGCCCATGTTCGTACATTTGTGTTGAAACCCACGTCGTTCCAGGCGCTCCTTGGCGAAAACGTGCCAAGGAGACACTCTCAGACCTGATCCCCGTCGGAGGGCTCGTCTTTGAGTGGGTACCCCTGTTTTGGCTTGGGGACAGCAAACCTGAAGAAGCGCCTCTTGAGGGACATCCTCCTAGGAGGCTTTTGGTTGGCTTAGGGACAGTATCCTAGGAATACTGAAGCTTTTTGATGCAGTGCTCGCTTTCTTCAGTCCATCATAGGCGAGCGACAGGAGGCTGCCGACAGGCGTCCTAAGCCTCTGAGTAGTTTCAATGCACAAGGTTTGCAGAGGTTGCCGAAGGACGCTCTAGACTTTTCTCGAACACGGTGTGTAATCCTGTTTCCCCTTGTATTAAAACGGTGCCCCCCCTAATAACATCAAGCTGGTCCTTCGGGAAAAACAATTTTCTTGCTAGGTTGTCCCTGTTCATTTTCACAAAACCACGGGGGACTAATAATTAAGTCCTATGTTCTTTGCGTGCAGAGAGAAGGAGAGAGAGGGATTCTGGGCGTGCTTTCTTTCAGACAATGAGTTCCTTTGCAGGATTGAAGGTGCAACAGGGTCCCTAATAGGGCTGGATTTGAGTACGGGCAGGACATACCTATTTTGGAATTGGTTTAGTATTGGCCTATTCTATAAGTAGTATTCCCGGAATTGGGATTCTCAACATAGATTATAGGGGGATCTTTAATATTAGGAGGAAGTGATCATCACTTGAGCTTGGATCTGATCGGCGCGGCAAATTGTGTTGTACACGTCCGTTGGTACTCATGCGAACATGAATACCTTGTTAGTGATCATGCCAGAGACATTTGGATGCAGAGGCTTCCTTCCAAAGCTGCACCGGCCTGCATGTTCAGCCCCTTTCCCGACCAGCTGCAATTCTCTTTGATTACATTCACTAAACCATCCCCTCAGCTTTTTAGCCTTTTTGTGTTTAGTGGGGATTTCCATTTAACCCACTAAAAGTTAAACTTTTAGCGGGGGATCTGAAAGAGGACAGCCCAGTCAACAAGAAATGAACATCACTGCTCGAAGGCAGGGAGCGCCAAATTTGCGCATCGTTGTCCTGCAACACAGGTACATCGACCTAGCTCAACCAGTCAGGAGTTTGCTTGCTGGTGCGATAGGTAGCCAGCTTGCCAACTTTTACGGCTTCTTTTTTGGTTGTGACGGGGAACCGCCCACTACAACGGACTACAGAAAAAAGTTCGTACCAACTTATTCCAATCTCTCCACTGGAGCACCTAGAAAGGGAACCGATTTCACTTTTGAACCGATTTTCGCGATATTTTCTCCAGGGGGGAAACACGCAGATGGAGGGCCGGCTGCTTGGTAACCACGGCCTAGTTTCTTCGCGCTAGGCTGCGGCGCAAGAAGAGCTCGCAAAGATCAGGGAGGAGCTGGTGGGCGCCAAACGTTCCGAGGCCTCCGGCGAAGATTCGAGAGAGATGCTGTGGAGGAAATCCGCTCGCACCACGCAATGAAGTGGTTTAAAGATGTTTCGGGGGAGAGAATGCTTCTTGTTCGCACCATGGTTGGCCGCAAAACGGCCTGAACTTTGGTGGTTTTAACAAGATAACCTCTTAGACTTAGAAATTTATGGCGTGGGCAAGGGGTACAGTTGGAGAAAAACCGGGTGTGTGCTAGCGCAACCCGCTAGAAACTAGCACGATGTCCGGCGTCCAAGGTGCTGCAGGCCTAATCCGCTTGGGAGGACATTCGAGTCGACAAAATCTGACATCATATCAATACTGCGGATGGAATCCGTTCGCACCACTTTGAAACCATGAAAAACCAATGCTGGTTATCATATACAGGGGAATCATCAAACCAGCGTGTCTTATGTGGTGCGAAATGGATTTCGTCCATCCACAGTGTGGTGCTTGGTCCAGAACGGGTAGCTTGCACCTCAGGTAGGTAACTCGAAGGCTCGGTCAGAGAACCCACAAAAGCCATGGTTATAAGATATCAAAATATAAGTCTCGGTTCAGTGGGTTATAACCAAGCTTACTAGCCATTTACCAAGCACCCTGCCCCTTTAAGCAGACAGTTGAGAGGTTGTTTATATTGATTGTTGTTTTGTTTTTGTGTTTTTGCCGGTGTTGGCCAGAGGGAGGTTGAAATGATGAAAAAGGTAGGGTCAAGCTTCGTGTTCGACTCCAAGGGTTGGAGGGCCGTTTGCTGCTCAGCAGAGGAATCCCCGAAGCTCCTAGTGTGTCTTTGATTTTACTCAGTTCCCCAAAGCGAATCGACCTTCTGACCTTTTGGTTTTCCCGTTTTGGTCCGTTTTTAGTTGAGGTGCCAAAAGGTGATCACCTTTTATTTCTGGGTCCCCAACGGGCAAGTGAGTTTAGTTTTCCTTTAAAGCCACAAACATGGGGGGCGCCAACTCCAACAGACCCCTGTGGAAGCTTGCTACATCCGTCTTGGGATACTCCCACCTTGCAGCCAGTTTTTTACGAGGTGAGTCCGTGCGCCCGTTTCGAGCTTAGAAAATGGCGCTGGCTCAAAACTCAAAACCAAACCACCAGGGGGACTGCAAGTTGTAGTCCTTGATTCCATTTACCAGGGTTCCATGTTGAGTGCCTTATTTTTGACTCACAGCCAAATAAGTTCGCTTTCACCGCCTTTGCTGAGGTCCCCCCAATATTGTTCGAACAGGAACCCCCCCTTAAACGAGGAAGTTATGATTTGCACAAACGTCTAATTGCGAAATTGGTTTCGACTTCCACAACAAAGATCAGACAGATCTTCTGCGTTTGCAGTTTGGCTGGTAACTGCCTCCACTAACACACAGCCACAAGGGTACACAACCCCTTGGTCCAATGTTGCTTGACAGGCTCAAGCGCATCAAGAGCTGGCAGCGAGTGAGGCGGAGAAGAAGAACGCGGAGGCAGCTTTTGCTTGAACATCAAGGAACAACGTCTCTTGGCGGCTCCCAGCCATCCCCTTAGCCTTTTAGCCTTTCAAAATGTTTAGTAGTAATTAGTTTCCATTCAACCCACTAAAAGTGAGTCACTTTTAGCGGGGGATCTGAAAACGGGCAGCCCAGTGAGTACAAGACTGCGAACGACCAGAGACTCAGCTGTCCCCCCATATCGCGGTGATAGCTGGTGGGCCTCCTGGAAGGCGTGTCGCGTGTGGATGTTGGTTCATCCTGCAGGTTGCTCCCTGCGTTGTCTAGAGACAGACAGACAGACAGACAGACAGACGGACAGACAGAGAGACAGAGAGAGGCAGGCAGGCAGGCAGACAGACAGACAGACACACAGACACGCAGACAGTCAATCCAACAAGCAACCAAACAAACAATCAATGAGGCACACAAACAAACGAGCCAACAAGCGAACCAACAAATGCATAAGCACCAAGAAGCAAGCACAAGCAATCAATGCAAGCGACTCCCCTCACAGGCGGCAGCTCAAGAGGAGCTGGCCAAACTGCGAGAGGAGCTGGAGGCTCAAAGGTCGGAGGCGGGTTTAGAAATCTATGGAAGCGACTTCGCCAAGAATTGATTTTCCTTCCTCGGTGGTTCCCAGCCATCCCGTCCTTTACCCTACCCGTCCGTCGTGAAAGAATTGAATCCACAAGGGAAGGCAAGACTCTGCATATCATCTATTCCTGACCACTTCTTCCATACGCCACTCCATCATATTATGTTCATCTCGCATCTCTGTCTCTTTCTTGCACTATTGCTTAGTGTTATCTTTGACTTTATCCTTCAAATGGTCGTTTTTCTTTTGGTTTCCCCGAATTTAGGGAAAGCTTGCTGACGTGGGTTGTAACCTAGGCTACCACCAACTTACTAGCTTGGCGGAAGACCCAAGTATGTACCCTCCCCAAAAAGGACTCAGACACTAAACGGTACATGGTTGTCAGAAATATGGACGCCAAATATGGACCCTATTTAAAGGCGGAAGCCACATACACCATGGCCCCAGAAGGGGTTCGCCATTTTTGGCAACCCCCATAATTTCTGATTTATATGGTTTCAACCATGGTTTCTTAGGTCCTGTGAAACGGCTTTCGCGACCGTCCACAGTATGTCAGGGACAAGGCCATATTCGAAATTACATGTCGCTTGATAGTTCTAAGTCGCCTCCAAACATGTTGGCTTGCCTCCATTGTCAGCTTGTGTATGTAAAAGACAAAGCAAACTTCAGCACGTGGAATGGTGCAATGAGTAACAAGGTCCAAGGTCCCAAAATGAACTGCTCATGCCTTAAAATGTGACTTTCTGGCTCACAGACTTGATGTTTCGGTGTGCACAAAATTCGGTTCTGAGCCTTTGGGGCACCGGATGACCGCGAAGTTACGGTCCGTTGTAGCCAACTTTGCCAAACACTGCCAAGAGCGTCGGACAATCTTGGCTGCCTGACATAGGCGCTTTGACCTTACCCATGAACAGTTTCTTGATGCATCCATCAGATATTTTTTGGGTTGATCCAGAATCAGAATCCGTCTCTTCTGCTTTGCCTATTTCGTTATATCAAAGGCACCACCCCCCAACCCCCCACCCCCCAAGCCCCCACCCCCACCCCCCCCACCTAACCTGGACAAACCGGACCGATCTCCAGGATCAGCTCCCGCCAACTCACAAGCGCTTTGGGCTAACTTCCTTCTGCCAGGCCCCAGCGCGTCAAGAGGCGCAGGCGCGGGGATTGCGTCGACTTGTTTGAGGGGACCGCTCCAGAATGGTGGGTTTTCCTTTGGGCTTCCTTTCAGACCCCTTTCCCCCCGAAAAAAAAGAGACACAAGTCAAAAAATGGGCACCCCCCCGGAATCAAAACAAACAAATTAAGCAAAAAACAGAAGAACAATCATTTGTTTATTTTATGTCATTTTTTGTTTATTTATTTATTTTTGTTAAAGGAAGAATAAGAAAAAAGACGGGCACCCCAAACAAGACGTATCCATTTCAAGACGTATTCATGTCCAATATTATCTTCGTGAAGCTTCCAGGCCGAGACGGTGTTTCAATGCATTTCAACGCGCCCTACTTGGATTTTGGCGCGCACGCGTCTGGTGTGGTGTGTTTGTGTTTGTGTGTTTGTGTTGTTGTTGTGTTTTGCCGTGTTTTTTGTGTGTTTCTGATTGTTTGTGTGTGTGTATGCTTGCAGCCCACCCATATCAAGCAACTTGTGCAACACACACTATTTGTGACGCTTTGAGCTGCGCGGGAAGCTCATGTTTGTTTGACCGTCGTGTTTGCTTTTGGGACCAATCATGGGGTTGCCACTATTCACTAAAAGCACGCGGGCGCATCGCCCGTGTGCATGTCACTTGCCTGGAAGTATTTTATTGGTCCAAAGGTTGTTATCATGTGTTATCATCAGCATCCTGGTTTGAAGCCAGCACAGGGCTTGTTTGTTTGAGGGTACCCTGTATTTAGTGCTTTCAAATGGAGACCAAATAGACAACCACCATTCTGGTGGCTCACTACAGACACATCCATCGATCCCTCAATATGTTGGACCCTTGCAGAGTCCATTGGCGCTCAGATGGGAACTTGTGGAAGAGATGCAAAAATACGCTGCACGAAGCTTAGTCCCATTTCTTCCAGAACTGCATATGTTTCTTGGAAGAGTAACATGGTTCTACCTCATTTTATGGGGGCTATAGAAATGGCAATGATGGTTTCAATGAGGAAGAGATATGAACCCCCACCTAAATGATTTCCCAAGGGTGCGGGGGTGGTTTCCTCAAAACGAGGGACCAACTCCTCTAGGTTGGTTTCCTCTTTCGCTTGAAAGCAATCCAAGAAGGGTTGAGATTCCTTTGAGACCAAGGTTTTTGCGGTTTAAAGTTACACCACAGGAAACCACCATTTTTTGTGGGTCCCCTAACAAAAAAGAAACACGAACTAGGTTCCCCAGTAGTGCCCTTTTACCCTTTGTTGGGGAGGGTTCCCCTACTAAAATAGACTACAAAAAAATCGGGTACCAACTTATTCTAACCTCTCTACTGGAGGACCTAGCTAATATCAACCTTTGCCATGCAGAACCAACAGTCTCGGGCGGGATTCTTGTGCTCCATCTGAGGCGCCGTCTGTGACAAGGCTAGCCACCCAGGCGGAACACGGTGGGTATGGCACTTCACCATGCTGTGGGTGGTTGCGAACTCCGTTTCTTGCGAAAGGAGACCCTGGTGTCTGATATGATTCCCCTGTAAGCACCAACGATGTTATGGTTTGGTTTCAAAGTAGTGCGGGATTTGGGATGGTTGCGGCAAAATCTATTTTGCACCAGTTGGGATGGATGCAACCCTATGGGATGAACCACCTCCCGGGTGCTGGAGCTTGCCCATCCATTGGCAGTCCATGGTACATTTGGGGACAGGGACTGACGACAACCATGCTCTTGGGATTACCTAAGAAGTTGAGAAACCCCGCGTCTTCGACAGGATTGCCCAATGTCCCTCTTCTTTTGTACAACAACCTTTCAAAACCACAACCTGGGATTGATACACCCCTAGTACGGGCTTATGAATCCGAGGTCAGCAATAGACCCTCTTGCCAAAGGAGCGATATCCGGAACTCACTTGAGCTGCTTGCTCAAAACCCAGGTGAGTGAAGGTTAAGGGATACCCCCAATCAGTTTTTGGGTAGACGTGTATTTTCTCTTTTTAAAACCAGGCTTCGCTTGTGACTCACTCAGTCGGCCTTTTCAGCTTCAAAGTTTGACCGTGTGAAGATGCAGATTTGAGGGCAGAGGCTGTTCGGAGGGTTCAAAGAAGTGGCAGCATCACTTTGGGATTTTGGGTTGGTGTTTTGTATGCCCATCGTTCTCGAAGTCCACGACTCCTTTGGAACTCGAACTTGGGGTTGCTGTATTTTGGAGTTGGATGTGGGCGAAAAATATTTGTTGATTAAAAGCTGGGCAAGTCTTCTTGACGCAAAGGTACCGCCAAAGGGAGGTTGGCTCAAAAGGAGCCAATTGCCAGGCTGCCCCGATCTTTGGGTGTGTTTTGTCTGAGGCTCGGCAGCCCGTTTTGTTGTTAAAAAGGGGAGGGGACAAAAACACTGGGGGTCCGGTTTTTTTTGACTATTTCTCTGGGCTGGCAAAGTAAGAAACTGGGGGTGTTGCCCGTTGGCCTAGCACTTAGGGAATAGCTTTGGCAATGGTAAAATCGTGTGGCCAGAGCCGCCATTTTGGGCGTCCCCTGCAAAAAAAAAACACACACTTCAAGGGGCAGCTGGTACGTCACGTAAGTGGTGATCGTAGGTGAGAGAACCCACTCTAGGTCCAGTAGTGCCCTTTCTCACCCCTTTTTGGTTGGGAGGGTTCCCCTACTAAAATGGACAAAACCGAAAAAAAAAGAAAAGAAGAAGGTTGGGACCAACTTATTCCAACCTCTTTGGCGGACCTAGCACTGAGACTGAAAAATCCCATCCCCAGGCTTGCTACCTTACCTGAGGTAAGTAGCCCCTCAGGGGAAACGCGCCTAAGCTGTACCAAAGGGCGAAAAACCAGCTGGCCGCCATTTTGGATGTCCCCCCAACAAAAAGAAGAAAGAAGAAACAAACACCACCAGTAGTAATTAAGTGGTTAGAACCCACAAAGAGCCATGGTTTTTTGAGTCTCCGTTCGGTGGGTTATCTTGCCCTGAGGTACCAGCTGCCCCTTCAAGTAGGCCTCCGTAGGGTCAGTTCCGACGATTTGGCCATGGGTCCAAATCCCGTACCCCCAGTGAACATGCCCAAAATGGGATCCCATTGGTTTTGACCCACAGCCATTTAACCAAACTCCCTACCTACTGTGGATGGACGAAATCCATTTCGCACCATCCCAGAATCCCTGGAATGATGATTCCCCAACGTAAATACCAAGAAACAATGGGGTCAACCATGATTGCCAACTGGTGCGAACGGATTTGGTCCATCCACAGTTTCGCACCAGAGTCCTTCTTCGACCAAAGTCGCCAGGAGGCCGTGGCAGCCGCCAACGCTGCCGCTGAGGAGGCCGACCGCTTGAACGCCGCGCTGCCCGGAGCCTGAGAACCCGAGCCGAGGAAAGAAGCGGCCAGTGGCGTGTGTCTGAGAACGAGGGAACCACCGAAATTGGCCTGCCTTTCTTGTGAGGCTTTTTTTTTTCAAAAAAATATAAATAAACAAACAACTATATATTATTATTTGTTATTATGATTATTATTATTATTATTTGGTTTTCTTCCGGAAAACGGAACCACCATGGGTCCGTTTTGTTTTTTTTTGAGGGCACGTCTTCTTTGGTGGTTCTATTTTGAGGAGAGCCAAAAGGAAAACCAGTTTGGGGATCCCGTAAAATAAGAGACACCAACAGGGCAACGGTTTCTCTTTGGTTCCCCGACCAAAAGGGCACATTCAGTGAGAACTAGCCAACCACAGAACGTTTTTTAATGCATGTACACTGTGCCTATATACAATCCAATATGTGTCATTGAGAACTTGTTTCCTTGAACAAGACCGGACATTTGCCAAACATCCAGAGATCCAGAAATCCAGCCGACGTATTTTCCAGCCCCAAGGGATATGTATATATATATATATATTCATAATTATATTCACATTAAGCCTATAGAAAACATATCAGCAAAAGCAACACAGAACACACCGCCCCCATGCCGAAAGCATTGTCCATTCTGGACCAGGCATGGGGTCGGGGATTGCTCGATTTCGGCAGAGGATCTTTGGAACTCTTGGCGATGGCACGGACTACACATGGGCGCGTCTTTCTTTGGGAATCGGAACTGCTGGTTTTCCTGTTGGTTTTCCATTAACCCGACCCAAAAAGGATTCCATCGAAAAGGGCAGACCCAAATGGTCCTTGTCGTCCGGTGTGATTGCATCGTTGATGTCCATGCCGGCGACAAAGGATTCCAACCTGCTATCGGGTTGATGTCTGAGAACGGAAATGCAGATGCTTCAGAATCCGAGCGCAGATGTTTGGAATTGTAGTTTCCGCTTGCAAATCAATCAAATGAGCAAGCACAGACAAGCTAGATCTGATAAGCTAATGAGTCAACCAGCCAACCAGCCAACCAGCCAACCAACCAATCAATCAATCAACCACTCAATCCACCAACCACTCACCATCAGACAGGCATCCGAACCTCTTGGGATCAAACATCGGACTCTTGAGGTTTCGGCTGGGTGGAGCCCAAGGGTAGACAGATTTGTTCGCCTTGCGGCGCATATCGTCGTCGACTTCAACAAACGCTCCCCCAGCAATTGGTGCCCTTTCTCACCCCTGTTTTGGCTGGGAGGGGGAACCCCCTACTAAAATCGACTACAGAAAAAAGTTGGTACCCTTGTTGAAACCTCTCTACTGGAGGACCCAGTCAAGGGGTAGGGATACAAGTGGTTAGGAAGCCTGGTGAGATAACCCACGTATCAGCCATGGTTATGAGTCGCCGTTCAGTGGGTTCTCTCACCAGGCTTCCGAACCACCTACTAAGTACCCGATCTCCCCTTTAAGTATTATCCTTTGCCATTTCGGCGACTTACCTTAAGTTTTCTGTCGCTCTGAGGCGAGACAGCATGAAGGACCGCGCCGAGGCGTGAGAGAGAGAGAGAGAGACGAGGGTTGAGCTTTGCTTCACTCAGATTTATTCATCTTTCTGGTTTGGATACGGGTTGTCTTTATGGAGAGAATGGAAAGTTCGACTAAAAGCCACTGGTCACAAACAGGACCTACATGAAGGTTTTTATCAAACGTTGGATGGCGTTGCAGGGAAGCCTACAGCAAGCCCACCGGTTTGAGGGCTCGCGCGGTTTCCCGACCAACCGTGTTCCTCCCATGAGATCCACACATGGCGCCAGGGGGACAAAGCTGGACACCCAGTGGGTTGGCTGGCAAGTCAGAGGCTTCAAGGACTTGCCTGACGAACAATGCCCGTTGAACGTTTTTTTCAGAAGCTTCTACGGGTACCTTCCATTTCCATGCTGGGATCCTTTGCAGAAAACCCTCAGAAACCCAGGGAAAGGGCAGGTTGTTGAAAAGAATGATGGTTGAAAATAATGGTGACTCAACCAATAGAAGGTTTTAACCAATTGTGCATGTCAAAATCGACCTCCAGATTGGATGGGTTCCTTTTGGTGTCCAGTAAACAGGCCTCAAAACAGGCACATTCACACCCATGTGGGTGTATCTTAAAATACGGCACCCCCTAAAATATGGTGGATGTACTTGCATTTTTCCTTTCAAGCCAACCGAAAAGGGGTTCCCCTAGAAAAAGACACACCCATGTAGAAGGGCCGTTGAAGCTTCGCCGACTCAAAAGTCGCATCAAAGGTTTCCAGAAATCCCCTGACTCCAGGCTAAGCTCATGAAGTGAATCATGGCTCGGCATCGAGCCGCGCGCTTTGGTTGCCACAGTTGTTTGGGAGTGTAGCCATCTTCGGCAAGCAGTCCAGCAAGGCAGTTGTTTTTTCATGAACACACTACGGAAGTCTGGAAGTCTGAAACTGTCTTGACGGATGGGTGGTTTGTACTCTACACTAGGTCCCTTCTTTGGGCGGGGAGGGTTCTCCTACTAGAATAGACAAGAGAAGAAAGGGTATCCTCATTCTAGACCCTCTACTGGAGGACCTGGTACTGTACGTGTTCCATCACTTTGTCAGCTCCGCGGCTGGATGGCGTGTTTTAGCAGCACACCAATCAGCACGGGGCGGCATATTGTGAATGACATGGGGCCCACGCAATTTTCCGGCAAAAACCTAGGGGCCCGCCCCATTATGTCATGTTCTTCTGGGGAATCAAGAAAAAGGGCTTCATTTGCAGCCGCGTTGGCGGCGTGCTTCTTTGGATGGTCAGCTGCTCATCAAGACGTTTTTTTAACAACCCCATCCGCGAGATGGTAAGACATCCCTAGTCAGCCCCGGTTGACAAGCATGAGTGATAGTAGTAAAATAATCTAGGGGGTTGATTCCCCATTCTTTTCAACCATCGTTCTTCCAAAAACCGGACGTTTTCCTGCGGTTTCCGGAGGTTTTCTAGTAGGAAGGATCCCGGGAAGGAATGGGGGAAGGTACCCCTAGACTTCACAACCGGATCGTGACCCTTGCATTCTCGACTCCCACGCAAAACGTCCTAAGCTCGTCAAGGCACGCCTTTGGAAGGCCAATTGGTTTGTATTTGTTGAGGGTACCTGTTTTTTTACCTTGCAAGAAAAAAGGGAACCAACAGCACAACCCAGCAATTTATCGGTCCCCCTACTCTGCCACGCACCCAGAAGCTCTTTGTGCCGCACCACCTCGGCTCTGAGACTCTAGTCGAACTGAGCTACGAGAGACGTATGTGCTTGTTTTTTCAGCCTGGAAACCACTCGCTGCTGTTTTTTTTGTTAAGATGACGTTTATTCTTGCATCAAGCCAAGGCGGACTCAGCAAGAACAAAAAGCACGCCCAGCCAAAGAAAGCAGCTAGCCGCCTTCTGCAAAAAGTTGTTTTTGGCGTGTTCAGCCAAAAACATGCAACACAAAGCGCGAAACCGCCAAAGCCAATCAACGCCCTCCCTTCGACTTCGCCATCGCAAAAAATCCTCACTCGCGATGGCGAAGATGCTCACGGGCTACGGATTGGATGTGAAGGTGGAGCATGAGGCCGAAGCATTCGCCATATCGAGGGGCAGAAACTCATCCAGCGAGCCGTGCAGCGAGCCGTGCCCTTTCTCTTCCCTTTTTGGGTTGGGAGGGTTCCCCCTAGTAAAATAGACAGCAGAAAAAAAGGAAAAGAACAAAGAGGTATTCTATCCTCTCTACTGGAGGACCCAGTTAAACTGCAAGCGCAGCAGCATTTCTCACTTTCCTCGCTGTGCCTGTGAAAGCACATTCCCGGAAACGAGCTGTCTTGCAGTTGCTGAATCGTCCTAGATTGAAATGAGTCACTTGCCGGCTGTTTACAACTCAGAAGAATGCCGTTGGCTGGCACATTTGTTCAGCCAAGCTGACAGGCTTCCAAACATGACTCTGGTCTGAGTCCGTTGTACCGCAGTGGCAGCACGCATTCAAATTGCATTCTCCTGCGTGACGGCATCCCTGCCGTCATTTGCGTGCTTTTTTGCTTGACAGTCGGATCGCTCTCGCTGTGGCGCGGAGTGTCTTACAAACATCAAAGCCGGCAAAGATTTTCTTGCAAGCAATCATGTAGAGGATGCTTCTGGACAGGGAACGTATTTTTGGACGATTCTCTCATGTGGTCATCATGCGGGTATTGTTCTTAATTCTGGGGAGTGTTGTTGGTGATGCTGGGGTTGTTGCTGGTGATGCTGCTGGTGATGCTGAGGGTGTTGCTGGTGGCTTTTCCAGTGCAAGAAGTGTTGTTTTTGTTGGTGAAAGCTTGTGGGCATGCTTGCTGCCAGATCATTCGGAAGGGACATGGAGCTTGTGTAGTCTTTGGCCGCATTGGGGAGAAGCAAGGCTGTCTTATGCTTGAGCTCAAGATGCGGTTTTCCCCCCCACAAAGCACCACTTGCCACGTCTGGCCCAAGAGCTAAAGGTGTCTCGCTCGGAGCAATTCTCGCCTTGCCTGGGTTTCCGTCAGCAGGGCTTGCTGCGGGAGTTCGGTTTTCGCAGAAGTGGTTTGGTGTGTATGAACCCCTGCTCCACTCGTCCCTTTCAAGCGGTTGAACGTGCCATCCGTGCCCTGGCCAGAGTGTGTTCCTTCGCCCTTTTTGACTTCAAGAAAACATGGCATTTCCTGAGCTTGGAACTGGGCTTTGTGAGAAAAAAGCGTCAGACAAAAAAACCATCCTCCTGCCAGAACTGTGGTTGCAACTGCAGAACCCTTTGTTTTCTCGCGCTCATGTTCTGGGAAGACAAGCGCATACCCAGCTTTTGAGTTGCCGCAGTGGGAGTGGCTTCGGCAGGATAGGGTCCGCCTGAGAAGGACAGTTTGCGCATAGAACAGCATCTCCACTTCACTTTTTGGAACATCCAAAATTAGTGGTAGTTCTCCATGGACACCACCAGTAAATTGCAACCTTCGAAGGGGAAATCCAGTGACCCCAGAAGTCTTAGCACAGTATGAGCTCAGTCTCAAGGCTCCCAAGCTTCCAATGCTTCGCCAAGTGGCGTTTCAAGAGCGGACCGTGAAGTCTGTGAGTTTGAGGTAAGGCTTTTCCATATCGGCGTCAGGTTTTCTCTTTCATCGAGTGATTTTGGTGTTTTCTTGTTCCCGGATCCTAGTGTGTTTGGCAGCCAATCAACTACTGGGCCTTTCATGTTTCCCAGTGTGGGTTTACCCCGCCGTTCAAAGGGCGAAAGCGAAGATATGCTGTTTCTGGCCCAATTGTTCGCTGTTGAAATTCCAATTGTGAAGCTTGAAACATGCACACACGTGTGGCGTGCAACTAAAAAACACGGACAATGACGCCTTGGTTTTGTGCAAGCTGGAGTCATTCCGGTTTCTCACCCAACTTTTTTGGTCGGGAGGGGCAACCCCCTACTAAAACTAGTTTCTACTGAAAAACAGTTCTGGTTGGGAGGGGGAGCCCCCTAGTAAATTAGACAAAGCAGAAAAAGAATCGGTTGGCACCCAACTTCTAGGAGAGGTGGTCCGGGTTCCCGCGCCCTTGCCCGCGCCCTCCCGCGTCGCGCGCAGACCGTGCCGCCTTCCCCGGGCTCCTTCGCCAGCGAGGAGCCACGCCGCCGCAGCATGCCGAGAGGTTAGAAGACGGGTACCATTTTTTTTATTTGTGGTCTATTTTTGGGGGTTGCCTTTTCGGAGGGGGGTTGCCTTTTTGGGGGGCTAGGTCCTCCAGATTTGAGAGGTTAGAATAAGGGTACCAACTTCTTTCAGTCTATTTTACTGGGGGAACCCTCCCCCCCAAAAAAAAGGTAAAAGGGCATCAAGCTGGGGGACCTAGACAAGAAAGACGTGCCGTTTGCCTTCTTGTGACGGGTGTTGCCTTTTTGGGGGGGAATGTGCACAGGGGACTCGGGACTCAAAGACGGATGCAAAACTGGTTGCTCTCCGTTTTCGGATGCCGTAAAAGTGAATTACTTGTGGGTGAAGTGGAAACCCAACCACTAAGCCTTTTTGGGCGGGGTTGCCTCTCAAGCCACTAGATCGCTTGGTTACCACAACAGTAGGAAACCCTTCGCAATTGCCCTCTTTGATTCTAAAGGGTGGCAAGCCCTTGGTCTGCCTTTACCAGGCAAATGGAATCACTGGCTACCAAATGAGAGAGTCCCCTTTTCTCCGTGGAAATCCAAAACTTTTTGGAGGGGGTTCCCGTTCAAAAAAAAAACACCAAACTGTCGAATTCCACCGGGGGTCTGCGGTCAACTCTCCGTGGCTGAGATGTGCACAGACTCAGATTCATAAACTCTGACATGAATATCCAGAGGTGTATCCCCTTGAACCATTCTCCCATCCCCCATACGTATTTGCTGCACCTATGACCCGGCGGAATGGTTGCAAGCAAAGCATTCACCAAATATCGCTACCAGGGACCTCTTGATCCCACGGTGATGAGAGTCATGATGCCGTCCAAGTAGCAAACAGATGTTAGGAGTCTCGGCAAGCAAATGCTTGCAGGAGTTGGTTATTCGTCTTACCACACACTTGGGGGTGCGATCCCGACAAGTTGGTAAGTTGTAACGGCAACCGTTCGGTTACAACCCGCTCATGAGTCGCCCTTTCAGTGGGGTTAACCTGCCGAAAACCCAAGCGATGAGCAAACAGTTGCAACATGGAGGTGTGCAATCACCAGCCATATTTTCTTTCAAGATGTCGACCCTGTTACCCTGCTTGACCAAAATTGACAAAACAACTGCCCAAACAAAGTCAGAAAACACATGGTTGACTTTGTTGACCAAACTTGAAATACACAAGCGACCAGACAATTGATGTCATGTTTCCCCACACTTTGGGGGTTTGGTCTGGGTTTACCCATCCAAAACGGACGGACGCAGGTGAAGCAGTACACAGTAACTTGGCAAGGTTACAGCTTGCTTGAAGACCCACGAGAGACAAAGCACCTAAAACCCAAACCGGATCTAGGTCCTCCAGTAGAGAGGTTTGAATAAGGGTACCAACTATTTTCTGTAGTCTATTGTAGTAGGGGATTCCTCCCAACCAAAAAAGTGGGGATGGGGACCTAGGGATGCCTGGTGGAACCTCCAAGAAATTTGGATCACCGGAATTCTCTGGGCATTTGCTGCGAGAGCCAACGTTCTAGGGGTACTTTCCCCATTCTTTCTCGGGATCCGGATCTTTCTAGAACATCTCCGAAAACCCAGGAAAAACGGATCCGGTTTTTGGAAAGATGGTTAAACACGGATCCGGTTTTTGGCAAGAACGATGGTTGAAACCAATGGACACGGAATATCAACCCCTCGAAAAGTTGCTGCTACTGGAGGACCTAGCCCCAAAAAAAGGCAACCCCCCTCGAAAAAGGAGAAAGGGCACGTCTTGCTTGTCCAGGACAGCGATCGCCTGGACCTCTTCACCGAGTCCCTGCAGCGCTTGAGCCATCAGGCGCGTGCTGGCGCTCGCAACGCGCGCAAGTGGCACGCTTTGTGGCCTTGGCGGGGCCACGAGAAGGGAAGAAACCCAGTGTGTGGCTTGAAATAGGGATTGGACATGCAAAGAAATTGCAAGGGTGTTCTTTCGGTTTCCGTTCAAAACTCGAAAAGGGGCTGTTGTATTTTGTCAACTTCAAGCGAGTCGGTCAGAGCTAGATTGAAGAGGGCTGTCACCGGCGTGAACAACTGAGAGGAGACATGCTGCATCCATTCTGCGTCGAGAGAACCTGGATCAACTAATCTTAAACCACGTGAAGGTTACTCAAGTTGCCATCGATTCGGTCAGGTATGCACGAAATCCTACACCCCCTCAGAATCCCTGGAATGATGATTCCCCGGTAAATACCAACAAACACTCGGTTATCATGATTTCAATCTGCAGGATTTTGTTCCAACCACTTACCTGACATACCCTGCCTGAAGAACTCTGACAGGGGATAAGCTCCTCACACGCCGGCCGTTCTTTTGATCGGTTGCCAGGAATCCCGAAGCATTGGAACGCCGACCAGCTGTTTTTTTTTGGCAGCCAATACATGCGGTCGCTGTGTTTAGCTTAATTGTGCGGCTTGGGTTGCGAGATTTATAGTAGTGGAGTTTCTGCTCTTCGAAGCGTGCTAAAAGCTCGATTGAACGGGCTCTTGCATCAATCAAGTATCTCAAGGAGGTCAACCTTGACTGCGGCATGGCAGTTGCCCCTTTTTTCCGGAAAACAGTTGGGACGCGCCTTTAGTGGATTCACCGTGTTCTTCTCCTTGTTGGTCTTTTTTAGCAACTTGTTTAGTGCTCTTTTTAGATCCACAAACGGCGCGTCAAACACGTTTCCATCCTCTTGTGCCCGCGCATTGAAGCATGCGAAGCTTCCAGCGCCAGATGGGGGATTTTGGTGGCTGAGCGTATGACCACTTTGATAAATGTGAACCATGGCGTTTGGATGGTGGAGCGATCACTACAGTCGACACATATGGCAATACATTTTGATAGGGAACCACCTCAAAAGGCGTTTGATGGTTACCTGAATCTTCCCCCGTGTTGATGTGCACCATGTCGGGTGCGGGACCCCAATTCCAAATTCTCACACACATGGCTGTGGGTCAAAACCAAAGGTACCATTTTGGGGGTTTTCGGTGCACCACCCATTATAGAACCTATTTTAGTGGTTGGATTGGGATGTTCACTGGGGGTACGATTCGGATTTTGACCCATGGCCATATTGCGCAGGGATTCCCAATGGCTGCATTCAGAATCCAAGGAAGTTGCAGCTTTAAAGGTACGCCCGTTGCTTTAGCCAGGTGAGGCAGCAAGAAGATCGGCAGCTGGCCTACCATCACCAGATGGTCAGGCGCTTCATATCTGAACGCTTTTCCAGGCGTACCTTCCCCATTTTTTCTAGAAATCCTTCTTTCTCAAGCCCTAGAGCTTCAGGTCGCTCACAAGACCTCTCCCACAAGGGTGTTGATGTTCAAAACTTGGCTGGTGCGATAGGGAATGCCCGGAACCCGGGGTTTGGGAATGAACCGGTTTTGGGGATTCCCTGAAAGGAAACCAAATCGGGGATGCTTTATCTCGGGGTCAGTCCAACTTATTCCCTGTTGAGCACCAGCAAGAAAATAGAATTTGGAAACGCGGTTGGTTTGTTCCCAGTGAATCCATTTGCTAAGTACAGGCAGGGAACCAAGGGAACCGCCCTTTAAAGAGGAAGTTGCGAAGGGTTCCCTGCTTTTGTAGCAACCCAAAAATCTACTGGGGTAGTTGGCTTGACAGGCAGCCCTCCAAAAAGGGTTTAGTGCTTGGGTGTCCGCTTCACCAAGTGAAAAGGGCTTTTAGCAGGGGATCACAAAACGGACAGCAACCAGTTTTGCTTGGTATTCCTGCGCTACACCAAGAGGCAGCATCCGAGCGCTCAGACCCCCGGCCCCTTCTCGGGTCCCCCCCGTGCCTCGCTTGGGACATTCCGAATCGGACCGGGACCCCAAAATGGCGATCTCGGCGGTTTTTTAGTTTTCCCTTGAAAGCCACAAGCAAGGGTACCCGCAAAAACTGAGAGATCCGTATTTCTCCTCAAAGGCTGGTTCTAAACATTGTTTTGGGGGTTGCCAAGTGATTTGTGGTTGATGATATGCATGTCCCCCGATATTATTTGATTAATAAACCCAGTTAATAAGCAGGTGTCCCTTCGTGGGGATTCCTTTCTCGTTCTTCCAGTACCCCCCGAATTAATCGATCGCCGGGCGGTTTATGAATCAGGGGTCAACTTGAGGTTGTTTTTTTTTTTTTGGAGGTACCCCCTTTGCTAGTTGGATTAACACGAAGCCATCAGGATGACTATCTCTATTTGGTATCCCTAAAAAAAGACGCCAACTCTATTTGCTGAAGAATATCAGTGTTTTCCGCTTTTGGTTTTGAAGGGGATGTGTCACTTGTTTTGTTCTTTTTGGTGTTCTTTCTGCAGGGGACATATCCCCCAATGGAGGAGAGGGAACACATAAGTTTCCTTCCGTTTTCATTCGGGGTCGAAAAATCACTTGGAACTCTTGGTGTAGCCGGAACGTTTGGTGGACTCCTGGTAGGCCGGGTGGAAGTGGACAAGGAAGATTGGAATACATGGGAGCTTGGGTGAAGGCCCCTTTTTGGGGTGGTGAAGGAAGAACGCCACCTTTGGATGGTTGGGATACAAAGACCTAAACAAGAATATCTGCTAAAGCGTCGCTGAAGCATGGGTTCTAGCTACTCTATTCTAGAATAAAGGAAGCAAGCCACCTGTGGATGGTTGCGAAATCCGTTCAAGGCACCACTGTTCAGAATCTTTGGATTCTGATTTGTTATTCCTCTACCAACAGACAATGGTTTCAACCATGGCTTCAAAGTGGTGCGAACGGAATTCGGCCATCCACAGTGTGTGTGTGTGTGGGTGATGCTTTTTGAGTTGGTATCTTTGGAATGTCATGCATGTTGGGTTCCGATTCCTATTTTGAGACAGGCCATGCAAGCCCATATGTTTGTTACATTATGGGCCATCTCAGCCTGCAAGCCTACCTGAGACAAAATGATTCCGAGCGAAATTGCGTCGATTCAATCGGTGCGCGCCAGGATCCAAGGAACATTGCAAAGCCTGCAGGAGGATCGTGAAACGTGCCTTGGCAATGGGCCAATCTGGGCCACATTGGTTGATACTAGCACGCAAGGAACTGCTGTGGATTGATTTTTCAAAGACGTGAATCGAATGGGAAAAGTTACCCAGGTGGCTCCCATCCATTCCCTAAGCTTGTTAGCCTTTGAGTGTTTAGTGGTTGGATTTCCTTTTTAGCCCACTAAAAGTGAGTCACTTTTAGCGGGGGATCAGAAATCGGACAGCCCAGTTACCCATGGTCATTTGGGGGCTGAAGGGAATATAACCTCCATATGGCTGATGGGTGTGGCACAATTTGAGACCTACCGTGGATCTCCAGGTAGCTTCACTTGAGTCACTTGCTCTTCACCCAGGCAGAAGGTTAAGGGCCAATCCCCTTGCCATAAATGGCTGCGGGAATCTGCCGTTCTACCTCTTTACATGGTTCTGGGTAGACCAAGAAATACCGGGTTTTGATTATGGTCAATCGGCATGCTGAAGGAATGTGTGAGAGTGCCAATGGTTTGTGACACCCTTACCGGTCTCACTGGATACGCAAGAAGCCAAGGAGCTTCGGAGGGGCATCGGCAGCTAGGCGGGGCCGTTGACACCTGCGGTGCCCTTGTTTCCTTCTTTCTTTTGGTCGGGGGGGGTCCCTTTCAAGTCAACTGCCAAACAAGTCCGTCGTTCTGGCCATGGAAATCCCGGGCAGGTTTGGCCAGGCCTTTTGTTTTGACGTTTTGGGAAATATGGAGGACCCTCGTGTGCTTTGCTGCGTGAGCCATCAACAACTCGTTCTTTCTCCAATCGTACCCCTTGCCCACGCCAGAAAAGAAATATGGGTGTTATTCTCCAGATGCGATTGCTTTGTTGAATCGCCAAAGCTCAGGCCGTTTTGCGGCCAACAATGGTACGAACAAGAAGCATTTCTCACCCGAAACATCTTCACACCAAAGTTGCCCCGATGTGCGTACCGCTCCCGCACACAGCTAGGATTGAAGGGGTCTGAGGGAAGGGATTGAAGGATCGTTGAGTTCAACAGTTGTGAAGATTTGAGAATCAGGTTGAGTGGGCAACATCAAACCGAATCAGAGAGCAAGCCCTGTGCCACAAGGAAACACCCAACAATTCCAATGTCGAGGCTGTTTAGTATTTTGCGGCAAGTGGTCCGAACCAAGCAAAAGCAATGTGACCAAACACATTGACTCGTTCATTGTTTCAATCCCCAGGCATGCGGCTGTTCGAGTTGTTGGTGTAAACATCTTTGCCCCCAAAAGATCAACACAGAATGTGTATAGAGTTGTTTATGTCTTTCTTTTTTTCTGCGCCTGGTGGTTGAACAAGAGACCACCAAAAACAAAAGATGTGTAGCTTTGCAAGACAAAGCAACCCCAAAAGGAGTTTGCTCCAGCCATGCTGTGTTATTTATTTATTTGTTTGGGAGGTCTACTTGAGCCTGCAGGGGACCATTTCCCTGGTTTTACAGGGCTCCCTACTATTACGTATATTTCCCCTTATACCCCTATAAGGAAACTCACGAAAAGGGGGGCCTGTTCAAGGTGATGTGCAAAACCACCTTTGAGGGATAAGGAAACTCACCAAAAGAGGGGCACGTTCAAGGTGATGTGCAGAACCACCTTTGAGGGAGCTTGGCTTCATGTGAAATCATGGCAAACCACCGGGCAAACCACCGGGCAAACCACCGGGCAAACCACCGGGCAAACCACCGGGCAAACCACCGGGCAAACCACCGGGGACTGTCTTTGGAACTTCTAACAAAACCGAGCACCAGCGTAAAAGGACAACCCCCACGAAAAACTCAAGCTGAGCTCAAACCAACACATCAACCGGGTGTGCTAGTACAAGCCGCTAGAAACTAGTACGAAGTCCGGCGTCTAAGAGTCTAAGGCGCTGCAGGCCTAATCCGTTTGGGAGGACATTCGAGCCAACAAAATCTGACCTCATATGAATATTGTCCGTTTGCAGTGCTTGGCATATCCCTTTGCAAGCATGACCCTACATCGGTCCTAAATCAGAGCATGATTTTGTGACGGGGACAGTGCATGCCAACAGATCTAATTGACCCACTGTTGGGGGATTTGGCCTCGTTGGCGGGGGTTTGGCGGGCGCGTTTCTGTTTTCTTTTGGCGCGTGGGGTCAATGGGTTTCCCCACCCCACATCTAAACCAGTCTAAACCACCAAGTGAGAAGCTGAAACCATCTAACATGGTTTTGTTTCTTTTAAGGGGGGCGGGTTCATTCAACCACATTCACTACCTATCGCAGCAGCACGTTTCTTCCCATAACAAAAAAAACACAACAACAACTGGTTTCCTTTAGGTGTCCCTTTGCGCAAGGACCAAAACCCGGAAGGTCATTCCCATCTCAGTGGTTTCAAAAGTTTAAGGGGAGCCCTGGGTTCATTCTCTATCGCAGGTTTCCTTTGCGGGGGGCGGGTTCATTCCCTACCTATCGCAGACGTCTGGTCCCATGGGTCATTCCCTACAGAGGCTGCAGACGCTGGAGCGGGGCCAGGCGGCCGTGGCCGCGGGGGCGCAGCGCGCCATGCAGCTCGCGCCTTCGGCCCTGAAAGGCGAAAACGGGGGGGGGGGGCCTTAGTTGTTGTTTGTTTCTTATACATACATATACATATATAAAGTAACAGGAATAAGTTCTTTGAACAAGTTCAATTAAGGATAAAGCGGCAATCTCAGGGGGGGGAGTGTTCTTCCATCTGCCGAAATGAATATGTGTTTTTTTTTTTTCCCTCGTTGGTTTTGAAACGAATTTATCACTATGTCATCTGCTGGAAATGAATATTTCTGCTTTTTTCCCTTGTTGGTCTCAAAGGGAATTTATCACTACTTTTCCAGGGGTCTGAACCAAATGAAGGGTTTGAAGTGGGTTCGGTTGGTTTAACTTGGTTCAAACGAGTCCGGTTCAGCTATGGGGCCAGTCGATCGGGTGGTTGGGGGTACAGTGGACGAGTGCATGGTGAAGGGGGCCTGGGGTGCGGGGTTTGGGGGCTGAGAGGGTTTGAGGGGGTTTAGAGGGTTTGGGACGGCGCGCTAAATGTTGCCAGAACATGTAGGGGGAATATTGAAACCACCATTGTCAGCCCTTTAGGTGATGGTTGCATTCATCCTTCAGGGAACCCTGTTGAAAGGTTGGTTGGGGTAGTTTGGGGGAGGGGTTACTATAAAGGCGCGATGACTGGCTAAATCTGGTGTAGTATTAGGGCAAGTGCCCACAGGCTCTAATAAACTAGTTCCAATCGCTTGCACTGACAATCATGTGTGTAGCATCCACTTTCTGAATCCATTCGCTGAGTTTGAACGCGGGGAGGTACTTCAAAAGCAAGTTTGGGCACATAAAGGACAACTATTGGTGGAGTGGTACTCTTTGGACCTGTACAGGGCGACTCCCCTTTTGGACTTGACTCTTCAGAACAAAAAGGTGAGCGCCCCCGGAGCAGCCCGTAGATCAATTGCTGTTGTTTGCGGCCGCATGAGAAGTAGAACCATGGGGCAACTCGGCCATTGCCGCCGCAAAAGACCCAGCAGATTTGGGGGAGGAATAGCTCACCCTTTCCGGCAATGCCTTCCATGATTGGTGGTTGTCGTTTTTGCACCAAGAGTGCCAGTCCCTCTGCGGAATGTGAACCTCTCAGTCACAGCTTCCGGAAGCTGTTGCACTTCAAGTGTGGAACGTCACATTTCTTGGGGTGTTAAGGGAACCCCCCCCGAAAGAAAAATGAAGAACCCCCCCCAAACAAAAAAAAGGAAGCTCATTTGTTGGGGTGCTGACAGAACCCCCCCAAAAAAAATATATATATCAAAGAACAAGAGAAAGGGGGTACCAACTCAAAGAAGACGAGCCACCCATTCGGTCTTTTTCTTTTGACCTGGCGTCCAAGACAGCCTTTTCTTACTCGCAACCAAAGCGAAGTGACTCCACTTTTGAGTCATGGCCCCAGAAGGTGAACCTTTTGTAGGTCCCCCAGTAGTGCCCTTTCTCACCCTTTTTTGCGGAGGTTTCCCCTACTAAAATAGACTACAGAAAAAATCAGGTACCCTTATTCCAACCTCTTTACTGGAGGACCTAGCAACTACAAGTCGGAAAACACAGATGTTTGATTTACAGTCAACAAATTCCATTTGCTTAAGAATACTTTCTATTTGTCCTTGTTGGTTTTCAAAGAAATTCATCACCACCGGAAATATGTTGTACATCTTTTTCCAGGGATCTTAGCCAAATGGAAGACATATTTGCGCCGTTGTTTGTTTCTTGACTTTTGCTGGTTCCGGCATGGCCTGTTGACGAGTTTGCTGGCCTTCAGTGGCCGCTGAGTTTCAGCCGACAACGGGTACATGTCTTGACGGCTATTGGGTTGGATCTTCAGACTTTCACTTTTTGGTTGAAATCATTTGGTGTTTTCCACTAAAGCCCCCCTCCAAAAAAACAAGTGAATTAAACTTTTTGCGGGGGGGTCGTTGCAGCAGCAACCAAGAAATGCCGAGCCGGAAGCCATAAGGCGACCCAACCTGACGAGACGCTTTTCGCCGGGGGGGTCAACAGCAGCAACCAAGAGAATAGTTCTGAAATGATAGTTTCCCTACCCCAAAATGGGCTTTCTCTTCTTGTCGTTGAAACAACTCCAAGAAGAATACCTTGAAACATCACACTCCTTTACTTACCTCTTAAAAAACACAACTTTTCTCAACTTCTTGGGTGACCTGGGCTATATGTCAAAGATGAACTTCCGGGCTGGGAGTTTTAAGGGGTAAGTTTAGATGTGCGAGTATACCGAGCAAGCCGAGGCTCTGAAGGCCGCAGAGGCGCAGCAGGCCATGTGCGAGCAGCAGGATGAGCTGCCGCACAGCCCAGACCCTCCCAGCCATCCCGTTTTTGCGCGGCGAAGTTCCATTTGGCTAAGAATATATGTTGTTTTCCCCTGTTGGTTTTAAAGGGAATCGATTTCACTAATGTGTTTTTTGATTTTCTCTGTTGGTTTTAAAGGGAATCAAGTTCACTACTGGAGATATTCTTACTTTTTCCAGGGGTACTTAAGCAAATGGAGGATTCGGGGATGTCTTTTTTTGACTGCGCAACCATTTTTGGTGGGGTTTTTGACTGTGCAACCACTTTCGGTGAAGAATATGTGTTGTTTTCCCCTGTTGGTTCTAAAGGGAATCGATTTCGCTACTGGACATATGTTTACTTTTTCCAGGGGACAAGCAAACGGAGCACACACGCACACACGCACACACGTGCACACGCGCACGCGCGCGCGCGCCCGCCCGCCCGCCCGCCCGCCCGCACGCACGCACGCACGCACGCACCCACACAAACACAAACACAAACACAAACACAAACACAAACACAAACACAAACGCAAACACAAACACAAACACAAACACAAACACAAACACAACACAACAACACACACACACACACACAGACACACACACACACACACACACACACACACACACACACACACACACCACACAACACACAACACACAACACACAACACACAACACACAACACACAACACACAACACACAACACACAACACACACACACACAACACACAACACACAACACACAACACACAACACACACACACACAACACACAACACACAACACACAACACACAACACACACACACACAACACACACACACACAACACACACACACACAACACACAACACACAACACACAACACACAACACACAACACACAACACACAACACACAACACACAACACACAACACACACACACACAACACACAACACACAACACACAACACACAACACACAACACACAACACACAACACACAACACACAACACACAACACACAACACACAACACACAACACACACACAGCACACAGCACACAGCACACAACACACAACACACAACACACAACACACAACACACAACACACAACACACAACACACAACACACACACACACACACACACACACACACAACACACAACACACAACACACAACACACAACACACAACACACAACACACAACACACAACACACAACACACAACACACAACACACAACACACAACACACAACACACACACGCAACACACACAACACACACACAACACACACAACACACACACACACACACAACACACACACACACAACACACACATCATACACAACACACACAACACACAACACACACACACACCACACACCACACACACACACGTACATGCATCTATATATATATATACAAGCTTAACACATAGTAACATATGTATATATATATATATACACAAATACAAGCATAACACATATGAACACACATATATATATATATACATACACTTAACACATATATATATATATATATATGAACACTGATTTTTATGATTTTTGCCGCATGTTTTGCCTGACGCCCAGGCAGGGCCGGTGCAGCTTCGAGGGGCGCCGGGGCAAGGAGCAGCTGGAGCTCCTGGAGCGGCGCTTCACGCAGCTGGAGGCTCGAGCGATGCGGCGATGGGGTGGCGATGGGTTTGGTTTTTTCTCAGCGATGCGGTGGCGATGGGGATAACCCAAAGGACGGAAGCTGGATTTTCGGGCTGCCTGAGTTGTGCTCTTGTTTTTGTTTTCCCCCTTTTTTTCTTTTCTAAATCAGGCCAGGGTTCCAGTTGGCACTCTTGTTTGCAACCAGGGTTTTCTTGCTGGTGCGAGAGGTAGGGAATGACTGGTCCGGTTTCGTCAGAAGGCGCCATTTGAGGGATTCCCATAGCGGAAGCCATAGGGGATGGTTTATGGGGGGTCATTCCCTCATTCCGCGCTAAGAACCTTGCCAGGAATTGGTGATCCATTTGTTTCCACATCCTCGGTGGCTCCCAGTCCAGTTCGACTTAGGCTTTAGTGGTTTTTGGTTGATTTAGTTGTTGGGTTTCCATTTGGCCCATCAAACCGAAAGGAAACACTCTTGGTGGTTTGAGCCATCCGCTTCAACTTGGGTTCCGGTTTTTTCAATCTGTGCTCGGTGCTTCCCACATTTTGTTTCTTTTCCTATTGTGGCTGGCCCTCCCCGCAATGGCCCCAACCAATGGCACCGGGTCCAGCAAACTGACAGCATATGGATCTTGGTGGTTCCCAGTCCGGTTCAACTCTGGTTTTTTTTTGTGTTTTGTAGCTGGTGAAAGGTGGGATTTCCATTTAACCAACCCACTGAGAAAGTGAGCTGGTCTTTACCGCTGACCAGGGAAATGGGGATCTGTCTGGGAATTGTGGCCATTTCAGCCATTCTCGGGTCACTGGAGTTCCCTTTCAAACCATGACCAAATCGCCCCCTTAGACCTTCTCGTTTACGTGGTCATGGTCCCCAATTGCCCACATCCGGGAAGTGGGCCATCCACTTTCAGCCTGATGCATGTGATTTTTGAGGCCCTTCTTGCTTGGTGATGTTTTCTTTGACCAGTGTCACTTGTGTTTTATCACTCTCCCTATCAAGTCTTATTGTTCCTTCTCCTCGCGATCTTGTTGTTCCCAGTATTCCCTTTAAACCATGTTGTTTCCAGTATTCCATTAACCATTTTAACAACACCCCCCTTCACAAAGCTGCAATTGTCTGGTGCGTTCCATTGAAACTACCACCTTTGGAGGGCTTCAAACAGGGAACATTCTCCTCAGGATAAAATGGTGTCATTTTACGGTAGACGAACTAAACGTAGAAGAGAACACATGATTTCTGTGTGTATCAGGTTCTGCCCCAGGTGTACGCTAGATGTAATCCAGTTTTTGCGGACGGACAAAGTCCACGCCCGCTACCACTTGAATGTGGTTTGTACCAGTATTCCTTGGGGGTTATCCATTTGGTGCAATTTTGTCCCCAGTATGGTTATGAAGGCCCCGGTTGTTGAGGGGTCCCTATATTACCCTTTTTGGTGGTTTTAAGCACCTTTCTGGCCCATGAAAGGTGAGTGTCCGTGGGCGTGATGTTTTAAAAGGGGAAATATAGGGTGCCCTGTTGTTGAGCGTTTCTGGGGAAAAAGTTGACCCATTCCGAATGCTTTCCCTGACTTCCTAGATCCATTCAGTTGCCCAGGTCTTTTTGGCAACCACGTTTTCTTGGTCCCAAAACAGGGCTCCTTAAAGGATAAACATTTTGCCAACCATTTGAAACATGGCTTTTTCAACAGCAAAATAAAGAAGTTTCCCACCAGAAAAGAAGTTGCAATGTTCAGGTGTTGTTCATGTAAGGATCCCTGCAAAAGGTGAGGTCACCTTTGATTTCTTCTCACCTTTGGGGCCGGTGTTCGAAATGTCCAACACGTTTCTTGATTCCTTACTGGTTCGAACCAGCAAGTTCGGTGTTCAACCTCACTTCCTGAGTTCATGACCTTGAAACTTTTTGGGAAGACCATTTCCGTGGTAAATAGTTCTCCAGTTTGGAGTCGACGTTTTTGGGCCATCCGACCTCAGCCGGTGAGGAGCTCGACACAGCCCCCGTTTCAAAACGGGGAGTCAAAGCGTCGCCAGGAGGAGCTGGACAAAGTCAAGCCCCAGTCCCAGCAGCTCGCCAGGATGGACCAGCACGAGGCGCCGAGCGGAACAAAAAAAGAAGAACTCTCCGTTGGGTCTCGTCTCGACATGGGATGCGGAGAGCTCGGCCCGAAGACTTTTCTAGGGGCACCTTCCATTTCCATGCCCATTCTGAACCCAGGGATCCGCATCTTCTCAGGAAAAGCATCAAGAAGCCAGGTGAAGCAGCCGGTTTTTGAGAAAACGATGGTTGAAAATAATGGGGAATCAACCCCTAGAACTTTGGGTATTTGGGGGTGTCTCAAAATGAAAGAGCTAGGCTTACGCGGGGGGAGAGTCTTTGGTTCCATCTATGGCCGGGGCAAAACCCAGGAAACCCCTGGTGAACCTCAACATAGGTGGCAAATGGATGTTCATCCACCCCAAAAAATGGGATCGCCATAGGTTATGCAACCCATGGCGATTTGAAGCTGCCATGTTGGGCCCTTGGCATTTGACCTCAGGTTAGGGACCTGGAGACTCCAGGATTCAGTCACTAGGAATTTTCGGCTTCCCAGGAGTTGCTTTCTGGCAACGTCAGCAGCAGCACGCGGATGTTTGCTGGTTGCGGCGCTACTTCTCCAAAAAGTCCCACCTTCGGCAAAAAAAGAGGCACACATAGACAAAAGTAGGGATCTTCACCGGTTTTGACCCATACACATCCATTCACCGGGGGGTACGGGGTGTTGACCCATATAGCCTGTAGTGGTTTCGCTCTCTTTTTTGCAGAGGGGACTCCAAGAAACGGAGCGGATGAGCGGCGCTCGCTCGCCCCCGGAGGCCTCGCAGCGACGCTCGGAGCAGCGTTTGGAGCGGGCGCTGGAGGACGGATCGGGGGATCGGAACCTGGTCGACTTGAAGATGCGGGGGGGGTCCGTTGGAGCCGGGTGGTTTGGTGGTGAAAGGGTTGTTTCCCATTTAAATCCAAATCCAAATCACCGGGCTCCAAACCAATCAGGACCCGAAGTAAAGCTGCTTCATGTTGATGGATCCCTGGTTTTGGGGATTCAGACCACTTTCGGAGGGGAGCACTCCCACCTTGATCTTCCAGGACCCTGAAAAAGCAGGCCTTTGGCGAGATGTTCCTGTTTCAACCAAGAGCAACATCAAAAAGGGCCCTGTTTTTGCTGGCCATTGGAAGACCAAGGCCATAATTAGCAATACAGGGGCTAATTAATCCGGATCTTCAGGTCCATTTGCTTAAGTGTCCTGGAAGCAAACAATCTAGCGATAGATTCCCTTTACAACCAAGAGGGGAAAATAAAACATGAATATTGAAATTTCAGCAAATTAGGGGGAAGCTGAGAAGATGAGGGGGTGGTTCGTTGGCTTCCATTTGCCGAAATGAATATATGACTTCTATTTTCCCCTGTTGGTTTTTAGGGGAATCCATCACTATTAGAAAACATGTAGTTTTTCCAGGAGACTGGGCGCATACTTGTTGGATAAGTACACGGCGAGTCATACATTTTTTCCGGATTCCTCCTCCTCCAGGGTTGCTTTCAAATGGATTCGGGACATCCAGCAAGATCTTTTGCAACTAGAAGATCCGTTTGGGCATGCGAACGGGCATCTTTGACAGATTTTGAGCACATCCCAGTGCAAATGGCGCCATCAATGAAATCTGCGGGCTTGTTTTGACTTGTTGACCTCACCGGGTAGACCAGTCGCTCTGGGCATATTATCGATTTTCCCAAAAATCACACAGCTTGGGTTCCTTCTGACAATGTGTCAGAAAAAGAAAGAAAACAGATATCCGCGGGTGAGCCCTTGTCGAACACTTCACAGATATGTGTGTCAAAACGCCGGGACTTGGAGCCACACGATGTGTTTGGGTTTCCTTTGCGCTTGCCTCACCAGCGATTCCATTTCCTATAGAAGGTAAAGGCCTTGCCAGCCTTAAAGCCAAGGGGAGCATGTCGCAGGGGGTACCTACTATATTTCTAGGGGTTGATTCCTTTTCCATTCTTTTCAACCATCGTTCTGTGCAAACTCCGGGCGTTTTCCCTGGGTTTGCGGAGGTTTTCTAGAAAGATCCGGATCCCTGGGTTCAGAATGGACATGGAAGGTACTAGAATATTGGTTGACTGGGACCCGCTGCGCAAACCAACCTGCACCTTCGCCTCAACACCTCCGAGCCATGGGTTACCAAAGCCAAAGTCGTCGAATGAGTTCGAATGAGCCAGGAGCTCGACAGCCGCATCGCCCAGGAGGCGTGGCGTTGGTCTTCGAGCCATGGGCCCCCGAGTGTCGACGTTGCGCGCTTTTTGGGCGTCCCCTGAAGAAAAGCGTCGAAACAGGAAAAACAAAAGAGGTATGGTGGTCAAAATGAAACAGGCAGGAATTGGACCGCAGGGTGTTAGTCCATGTTTCCACTTGCCAGGGCAACCCATTTTGGGGTTACCCTGTTTTTGACAACAGCCGCCTGGATTTCGCTGGGGTCCGTGTTCTGAGGCAAGGTGTTGCCCAGGCAAGGTGTTGCCCTTGCCGGGGGTCCGTTTTTTGTATGGAAACCAACACGAAACCCGAAATGGATTTTGGGGGAGTCCGATTCTGGCCTGGAAAGTGAGGAGCGCTCGCCAAAAGCCAGACCTGCATAAACATCTACCTAGGAATCCGAGGATGAATACCTGGGGTCTGATGGGAGACTGCAAATTGGCCATGGGTCAAAATCCAAATCGTACGCCCAGTGAACATCCCAATCCCCAGTAAAAACTGTCCTAAAATGGGTGGTGCACCTACCCCAAAATTGGATCCCACTGGTTTTGACAACCACAGCCAATTGGAGAGAGGCTCTCGCTTGGCTTTTGGGAAGCTCTCGTCTATCAATCCACCTAGAAACCGAAAGGCCCGTTTGGGTATGAGGCAACCTCAAAAAGTATCGTAGACCATTTTACTTCGTGGCTCCCAGCCGTCCCCTTACGTTTTTAGGTGTTTAGGGTTCTGGGGTAGTTTCCACTAAGCCACGAAAAGTCAAACTTTTAGGGGGGATCTGGGAACATCTCAGTTTGGTAAAGGCGTTTCATTCAAGAATGGTTTGGTGTTCTTCCTTGGAAACCGATGGGAGACTGCCCACAAAAGGATACCCCTTATGGCAGAGAGTCGCTCCAGCGATTGAGAATGGGGAAGAACAAGAGCCAAGTGTTCGAAGGTCATTGACCAGCTTCCCACACAGGATGTTGGGCGGAATATTATTCTTTTAGGATTATCGTTATAATTAATAGATAGGTGTGTGCTAAGAAGTTATCGTATAGTGTTCGTTGTTTTATTTTTTGGTGGTACTTTGTGTATGACCGTCCCGCACAAACAGCATTTGGCGCTAGCAGTCACAATGGCTTTGCCGGGGCAGGCAACGAGTTGAAACCTGACAAGTGGCAACGCAGATTTAAAAGAACGCATCATACCCTCATGCATGGCATAAGAGAAGCTCACACACCCAACGATATCCTTGCATGATAGCGTTGCAAAAAACTGAAATGAGACCAGAGGGGAGTCAGACAGAATCTAGGTGCCCCAGTAGTGCCCTTTTACTTTTTTTTGGGGAGGGTTCCCCTACTGAAATAGACTGCAGAAAAAACGGGTACCCTTATTCTAACCTCTCTACAGGACCTAGGAATAAGTAGTTGGACTACTTTTGAGAGTGGCTCATATCCACGGTTTGGGCAGATGTAGGGGGCATGTCCTATGATCAATCCTCGGTAAGACATTGTCATAGAATGATCGCCTTCAACTCTTGAGTCAAATCTTTCCTCGCACAGACGCTGGTTGAACTCGGTGGCCTGTCTTGCTCTCAGCTTTTGGCCATACTTGCTGTGAGCAACAAGACGACCTTGACACATTACACACACGAGCTATCTAGCAGCTGGTTGCTCCAAGATCGCCGTATGTCACAGACGGTACTCGGTGTTGTCAGAGTTCAAGCTTGCTGGTTGTAGCTGCCGGACTGGTTCAGTCCTAAAGCGTTGCATTCATGCCCCCATACAGGCGCATAGATTTCCATGAGAGGTTTCTTCTCTAGACATCGGTGTTTCAAGGGGTTTCGGGGCCGCCCGTCCTTCAGATCCATCAAACCTCCCCTTTGGCGCATTTTGCCAAGGGATGTTGGGACTTTGACTTTTTGCCAACTACTGGGTTTTCCGTATTAAACCACTAAAAGTTGAAGAAACTTTTAGCAGGGCTTCGCAGATTTCGCGAGTCCCCGCAGGTGAAAGACTGCAGCCAGCGCGTCACACGACTCGAAACCCTGGCCCGGGAGGAGAGCTCCATCCAGGCGCCTGAGGGCCTGGAGACGTCTGGATTCCGAGGGATTTGTTGGTTCCGTTTGCTTGAGAATACTGTGGATGGACGAAATCCGTTCGCACCACTTTGAAACCATGGGAAACCATTGTTTGTTGGTATTTACAGGGGGAATCATCATTTCAGGGTTCTTTGGGTGGTGCAGGATTTCGTCCATCCACAGTATGTTTGTTTTTTTCGCGTGAAACTGCGTCACTTGGCTCACTTGTTTTTTTTTTCATGTTTGGAATGGAAGGATTCACTTGGTTTTAAAGCTACTGGAAATAGTTTCCTCCTTTTTTTCCGGGGTCTTAACCAAATGGACGGTTTTTCCAGTGTTGTGGCTCAAAGGGATCGGACCTCTAAAAGGAGGAACTTCTTGCGGTTTCCGGTTGAAACCAACAAGGGGAAACCGAACAAAACCACAGCATGCAAATGTGTGTGTGTGTGCTCACGCAAAGGACCCAAAACCGAAACGAGGCAGCCTAAAACGTCATCTAGTCTGTTTGGGCTGTTGCTTGCAGCTCTTCGTTGCTGGGGAAGATTTTCCAGATGGCTCTTTGTTTCCTTCACGGGTCAAATGAGCAACCAGAAGCTTTGAACTAGTTCATGCTAACAACAAGCCGTGCATCGACTCTGCTCCCTTCATGCAGAGGGAATACTGGTGCGACGCATTAAGGAGCTGAGATGTTTCAAGGCATTGGTCCCCTCAAAGACTTAGGGGGACTTAGGTTTGTGTATGTGATTCTGTTTCTTAGAGTGCGATACTTAGCTAGCTGTGGCCAGAGGCTATTTTTAACGTTAGGCAGAAGTGGAAGCAGCCGCAGCAGTGGCAATGGCAACAGCAACACCAACAAGAGCCACTAATTTCTCTCAGCACCGCCGCCGCCACCACCACCACCATCACAACAGCAGCTGCAGCAGCAGTGATGGCAAGTACAGCAGCGACAGCAGCAAGAACTTCAACGGACGCAACGCATGATTTGTGCCCGGCAGGCTTGCGAGCGGATCGAGCGGCAGATGGCCGCGCACGAAGAGGCGAGGCCTGAATTTAATGCATCTAAACGAGTGTTTGCGCCAATAGGTCGGTTCAAAGGTTTATCCACTAGTTGCATTCTGCTAGGGTCTTTGATCAAACTTGCGGATAGTGAAGATTGGCTGGCTTCCCACGTGAAATCGTTTGGAATCCAGAAGTCGTCTGGTTTTTTTGGGGGGCATGTGCCAATCGGCTGTCACAGTCTCAGCGAGAAGGCGACTGTCCTTGCTCATCCAGCTTGTGGAATCGACTAGGAAGAGGGTCCAGTCATGCCAGACCCTTGTTTTTGGATAGCGGTTCAGCACCACGCATGGGTATGGGTCAAAATTAAACCACCAGGATATGGACCCCAGGTTTTAGTCCATGACCAGGATTCCATTCTGGGGTTACCCTACTTTTGACAACCACAGCCACATGAAACCGGCACCTAGGCTGGACGTGTCCACAAGGAGCGCTTAGCGCGACTGGAAGCCATGCTGGAAGCACAGAAGAAGGAGCTGGAGGCGGGGCAAATGCTGGCAGCGCTGGGCTTCAACTGAGCCATTGGCTCAAAACCCGGGGATTGGTGAAGGCTACTAAGGGATACTCCCCTTGCCATAAATAGCTGCGGATGTCCGCCTTCTGAATTCTTTACATGGTTCTGGGGAGACCATTTCAACACCGGGTTTTGATTATGACTCAACAACCGAGTTGAAAGGATCGCTGATAATCGCTGCCATCTATCCCTGGGCCCAACCTGCAGAGATGCTGGAGCCTGTCACTCCACACATACATGTTGAACTTTAGAACGCCTTGCCTCACAGAATCGTAGTGCAAGTGATCTGTCTCCTCTCCAGTTCCAGCGGTCATTTGCTGACCTGTTTCAACTCCACAAAGGATTCTTATTTAAGAAAAGAGCTGCTGTGAGAGGAGGCTTGTTGTAGGGGCTGGCTCACTTCCGCTGTGCAGGATTGATTCTGGTGTATTGTAAAGCATTGCAAAACCACAATAGCCAAACCGGGGCCATCAACAAAATGAACATGCGGCATGCGCGTCTGTTTGAATGGAATGATTATGGAACATAGATAACGAACAACTCTTGTTCTGGCTTTAGGCAAAGGTCAGAGCAGGGGCCATGATGTGTTTCGCTGCTTACTCAACTTTATGGCTATCTGGTTGGATCTCTGGACTTTAACTTTTTGAAACTGGAAACAGTAGATGTTCCATACCCACAAAAAGCGAAGAACTTTGGTCTCGCCAGCGAATGCATGTCGTGTGCTGCTTGGGGCACACAGCTCCGGGCTGAGGTCTTTGGGCATGCTTTCCGCGACCAAGCCGAAGCTACAGGGTGCATTGGGGTATGTACCCTTTATTTAGTGGTTTTGGGGTAGTGGCATATATGTTGAAGTACCACTTGCAGCCTGGCTTTGATTTCGGAAAGCCAATCGACCTGTCATGAGAGATGTTCAAGGCATCCATCATTCATGTTCCGTGGCCGCAACAAAGTAGCCTTTGATTTCCCCCAGAAGTGAGTCTGTAGAAGACATATAATGCATCCGGCATGCGATATGGTAGCTTCCCATGCACTTTCACCATCAGACCTGCAAGCTGGTTTGAAGATGTGTACGACAGTGAACTCCAAATACCATAATTATTTGGAACCGAATATCCCATTGCCTCGAGCAGGCATGGGTGCGTCTTTTTTGAAGAGAATTCCCCTGTTTGGGCGGTTTTGGATTGGACATCCAAGCGGAAGCCCAGGCATTGTGGTGGCAAAGATGTTCAAAGGAAAATAATTTGAGACAGAGCCACACAGCAATTAGCCATTTTGAGATATGTTCATTTTGAGACGCCTATGAGACATCTGAGGTTCCCCTATGTTGAGACACAGCCACAGGGCCAGTTGGCTGTAGGCCCATGAGTGCATCCAGCCGGAGCCGAACATGCAGAGCCAGGCTGGCCTCTTCTAGCTGCCTGTTTTATGGCGAGCTCACAGATCCGGGGATATAACGAGCGAAAGCCATGATCAAGGTCCTTGACTAGGGGATCCCTTAGTTCAGCTTTTGGATTTATGATCAGTTTGCAGATTCTAGGAAGTGAAGATGTGTTTGGTTGGATCATGTGCTGCATCGCATTCTGGGTTTGATTGACACGTATGGCCAGCGACCTCCTTTCTGGAAGGAGACAAAGGCAAACCAAGAGGTGGCACCCTGATTTAGGAACCACCCCAGTTGATTCAGGTAAGGCACGATGTGCCCCCGTTGCATAGCTTCCGCAGTGCCATTTCCAGCGTTGGCATTACAGCAGCCATTTTCCACACCAAAACCCATGTTCATCTCAGAAGACCACGGAGTTTCCCGTTTAGACTGTCTTAGGGTTGTGGGATCAAGGGGTTTATCCCCACTGTGATACAAGGGAATCCCCCCCCCTTGATTTGAGGGGGTTCATCTTTGGAAATCCCTTTTTGTATCACAGAAGTGGATTCCATTTCCCACAGCCCTGGACTGTCTTGGTGACCCCCCCGTTTCCTGTGTGCCAATCAACAAGATCCGATCCGCTCCAACCGCACCGACCAAACTGGCAACTCGCCAGGAGCGCTTGGGCTTGCTGGAAGAGACGGTGCGAAAGCATGGCCAACAGCTCGAGGCGAGCCGCGAACCACTCGGAGCGAGCCGTCCGGTGACGGCGCCGTCTGGTGACGGCAGCGCGGGGACCGCGAAGAGTGCTGTTGAACTTCGGGTTTTGTTCGGTTTTGGTGGTGAAAAGCGCTTTTGGTTTCCCCATTTAACCCACAAGTTAAAGGTTCAACTTTGTTTTCCCCAAATTGTGCGTACAGGCAGTTGGGTTATTTCTCTTTCTGGTCAAAACCCACTATTTGGGGCCGCCCCGAGATATCTTTTGTGTTTTTTAGTCGGAGGAAGGGAAGGTTCCACCTCATCCACCTAGCTTCCCCCATGAGGGCAAAGCGTGCTCAGCTATTGAGCTTGCGTCTCTCAAGTCTAAAAGTGCCAACCGATTATTTCACGTTTTTGCGGGCACAAGTAAGAAACAATCAGTTTGTCCTGGAGAACGATTTGGCTATATCTCCTGTGGGTGTTGCACGTTTGGGCAAATGGCTGTGAACAGCGGCTATGAAGCGCAAGCAATGGCCGTGCAAAACGGCAGTGGCCGTGAAAAGTGATTCTCATGGTCGTGAGCGGAATGACCGCGTGAAATGTTGTTAAATGGCTGTCCAGGGTAGCACGACGAATGTCGGCACCAATAAAAGTTGGTTTATCATTGCTTAGTCTATCTAAATTTCAGGTCCCAGGTACCTCCTTCTTTTTTGGATGGTTTGAAAAGGAAATAATTACCAAAATTGACCATTGCCATAAAAAGAAAGCCTAAAACTCATGACCCTGTGGTTACATCTGGATGTTTCTCCTCAAGGACAACCGTTTGCTTTTGGTTTCCGAAACCATCCAAACAGGATTCCATTGTTTAGCTGTGTGTCAAAATAGGGATTGGGGCCCCAAACATTGCGCCTGTCTTCCATTTAATTTCTTTTACTGGGCAGCGAGCCTCCGAATAGTGGCAACCATTCCAAAAGCCGAATTCCTCTACATTTCCCTTTACCCCCAAAACTGTAACCCGAAAAAGGTAAGAGTTAAGAATTGATCAGAATAAGGGTGATGATGACTGTCATCATCCGCGCCATTATATTTATCATCGTAACACCCTGCATCCCCGGCTGTGGATTGAAAACTAATCGTCATAGAATCCCTTGCATTGCAAGTGCTGCCTGACGTGAGCCACAATCAAGACCCGGGTAGATGAAGGTTTGTAAGGGGCAGTCCCAGCCGGAAATAGTTGCGGCCGCCTTTCTAATTCTTTACATGGCTCTGGGTTCACATTTTTTGTACCAGGGTTTGATTGTGACTCACGTGACGTCTGATTTCTATGAATATATATATATATATACACACTGGGGTCATTCTGTTGACTGTTTCTGGGGGGTTATCAAAGTCAGAAAATGTTGTTGTTTCCTTTTAGCCCACCACTTGGGGAGTGAACTTGATCATGGTAATCATGGTAAAATAATGAGACCCACTATAATATATATATATACATATTATACAAGGCAGTTGCCCGACAACCCCTTAGGAGCCAAAGAGCCACTTGCCAGGCCACAGACGTGGCCTTGGCAGACCTGCAGACTATGGCCGGAGAGTCCCTGCTGGGAGGTGCGAGCCGAGTTGGCGACAGGGGTTTGTTTTGCTTCGCAAACACCGATTCTTTTTATTATTATTTTTAAAAGGGACTTAGCTGTTGCATGGCTCTGTTTTTCAAGTGTACCGATTTTTCGGTGGTTTTAAGGGAAGATCGTCATTTAGGTGTCCTTTGAGGGACTCAGTCAGGATTCACTGGATTTCCCCGTCAATAGTTGCAATGTATGGGTTTTTTCGATTGAAACTTTCCTTTTGGAGGTTCCAACAAGGGAAATTGAGGAAACCTGTGAGTTCTTCAAAGCCTTGGTCCGCCCTTTTTGGTAACGTTCAGCAGAGGTCCGCAAAGGTGATCACCGGTAGGGGAGGCCAAAAGGAAGCCCGAAGTCCCTCCTCGGGGTCCGAGTCCTACTTTCATTGGAAGCGCGCAAGCAGTGCCGAAAACGTGGTCCATACATAGTTTCAACGAAGCTTGGGCTACATACCGCGAGCTTCTTTCACTTTTTGGCAGAGCTATGCGCATCGGACTCAGACTTGATCGTCAAAACAACTTGGCTGGCCGAATAGGAATTGGAGTGGCAGCAAAAAGTCTGGCTAAAGGTCTCTTACAAAGTTCCCAGCCTGTGCTGAAAGCTGTTTAGGAAAAGCATCTGAGTGGTAAATAACCTGTTTGGTGTGCTGTAGCATTGAACGTGAAGCCAGTATCAGCTGCTACTCAGTCGCGCTTGTCTCTTTACTTGAAGGCAGCTGAGCTTCTCACCTTCGCGAAGGCAATAGCGTGAGCACGCATAGGTCTCCTCTTGTTTTCAGGTTTTCATGTTCAAGCAAATCAACTATCTGTAATTGGGTCGCCATTTGGTTTGGGTGTTTTGTTGAATGAGTTTGAAACAGGGGACACCCCAAAACGGGGGACGCCCAATCGACAGGGGACGCCCAAACAAACACAAGGAAGAGTACCTTGGGCCACAGAAACCAGGCTCTGTTGCCCAGTGGTGCCCGTTTTTCCTTGTTTGGGGAAGGTTCCGATTCCTTGACACTCGACCAACCAAAACAGGATGGCCCTTTTTTTCCATGGTCACTGGGCATCTGAGCAGGGGACACTCAGAAGTTTAGACTTTCATTTGTTTAAGAGCATGTTTGATTTTCCCCTGTTGTAAAAGGAATCGATCACTACTGGAAATATTTTCTCATTTTTCCGGGGGTCTTAACCAAATGGAACCTAAATGAGGACCATTTTGTGGAGATTCCTGTGGTAATGACGCTTGCTTTGGGTTCCAGAGGTGAATATTTGAACTACCAGCTGGTTGCCCCGGAGTATCGCAAACAACCCGGAACACGCCAAAGGAGCTGTCTCTTAGTGGTTTTGGCAGGCTGCCTCGAGGGCGACGGCGAGGGCAGTGAAGGCGGGCCCGAAGAGTTTGTCGGGATGCGGGTGTGTCTTCTTGAGGGTACCCCTTTGTTTGTGTTTTTGTTTTTTCCTTTTTTTTTATTAAAGGGGAACCAAAAGAACAGAAAGCCACCATTTTGGGGATTCCCTAAAAAAGACGCCTGTCTTTTGCTTTTCGGGTTTCTGTGTTGTTCCGGTCCATGTGTGTGTGTGTGTGTGTTTCTGTTTGTTTGGGTTCCAGGATGTTCCGGGTGAAATTGCCAGAAAGTGTCCCAAAGAAGCTGCCGGGCGGGTTTCTACTTTTCAGACCCACCCTATGGGTTTGTCCTTTTCTTGGGGACCCCAGTTGCCGGTCCCCATGCCATTCCTTACCAGTAATATCCAATGATAGTGAAAGATTGAGATATCGTTTGAGTCTCGACTCAAGTTTCAATGTGTTTTGAAGTTTAGACAAACATTATACCCTGGGGGTCAAACCACCATAAAAACAACGGGGATTCATACCACCACCATTATTACCTAAGGATGGTCATCATCTAAATTGGGTCAACCTTTGTTTTAATGGGCGTTGAACCCCAGGCTTGTAACAGTTTGCTGGCACTTGCCGATGGCAACTGTTTGCTTCCGGGCCTTACGAATTCGCATACAGCAGCTGACACCATGCCGTCAAACACCAGTGGGGGGGATATCATGGCTTCAGCCAACTCCCGATCCCAACCAAAGTGAAACCCATAGGTTGACTGCGCTGGCTTAGAGGCTAGGTCCCCCAGTAGTGCCCTTTACCCCTTTTTTTTGGGAGGGTTCCCCTGCTAAAATAGACTACAGAAACAAGGGTACCCTTGTTCAAACCTCTCTACTGGAGGACCTAGAAGTTTTTTTTGTTTTTTAGTGGCTTTAGTGGCTGGGTTTCCATGTAACCCACTAAATGTTAAACTTTTAGCAGGGGATCTGAGAACAGACCAGTTTTGAGATTCAAACGGGCCCCATAATTTTGCATGGCTCATGGGGCATCGGAATTGGCGACTCGGAATTGCCGACTCGGCATTGCCCGGAAGATGCACATCACAAAGGCGGGAAGCATGACCAGTTGCGACTCTGCCTCATGCAAAAAACACACAAACACACACCCGCACACTCGCGCATGATGTTTAGAACACAAAGCATTGCACCCATAGAGCAATTCAGTCTGACTGTGCAGTGGGTCTTTCTAGGCGTTGCCTGTCAGGAGTTATTTGGCCTGTATCATCGTCAGGGACCTTCCACAATGCTTTGGTTTCCCAAAAGGCACTTGTGGTGCTTTCAGTGTTTAGTGGTTGGATTCCCTTTTTTAAACCCACTAAAAGTTAAAAACCTTTAGGGGATCTGAAAACGGACATCCCAGGTTTGGGCAGAAGCCACACCGCGCCTTGCAGACCCCCCGCCGCCGATGCCGACGGCTCAGATCTGGCCTTCGAGGGTCTGGCGATGCGGGCCAAGATGCAGCAGGAGGCCATCAGCCGCTTGGAGGACCTCCATTGGCTGAAACGAAGATTTTTATTTTTGTTTTCCCTTGCTGAAACGAATATTTTGTATATTTTATTTTTTGTTTTCCCTTGTTGGTCTTAAAAGGGGTTCATCACTACTGGACATATTTCTTTTTCTCTTTTTTCCCGGGGCCTTAACCAAATGGAAGAGGAGCCAACCGTTGGAGGCCTTGCGCAAAGCTGATCGATGGGACCCGAGATGGTTTGGTGTGTGTCGCTTTTTGAAGGTACCCCCTTTTTGGTGTCTTCAAAGGGGTGCAACCAGCCGTCCAGTTCAACTCAGGTTTGTAGGTCTTGAGGTGTTTAGATGGTATTAATCTGGTTTGTCGGCGTCCTGAATTGGGTGCGTTGCGTATGTGGGTATGGGTCAAAATTAAGCCACCCGGTATGGGCCGCAGGCTTAGTCCATGTCTCCATGTACCAGGGTCCATTTTGGGTACCTATTTTTGACCTGCCATATGGGTGTGGCTCAAAACCAATGGGATCCCATTTTGGGGTAGGTGCATCACCCATTTTAGAACCTATTGTTAGAACCAATAATTTTGGGTGCCCATTTTTCACAGACAGTTGGGAACTGGGGCCATTCGCTGTTGACAAGCATCACAGTGCGGAGATGGGAATTGTGCGGTTCGAGTAAAAAGTGAACGGGGAAGGGACCCCCTTCATTGTTGTTGGCATGTGTTTGTTTGTTTGTTTTTTGACAATACCAAGGCTTGTAAAGCGCCATTCATCTGCGTTCAAAGCGGATCGAGCTTTCAACCTTTTTTGCCCTTTTCAGAGAACACTTTCAGTACAGGTCCCAAAGGAGGATCACCTTTTGGTTTCCAGTTTCTTTCGGTAGATTCTGGGTTTTTGTGGGCAGGTCATTCGACCCGGCTTATCTTGTCCACCTTTCGCTCAGTTAAATTCTCCATTCAGCGAATCCCGTAACTGAGAACAGGAACCTCTCAAGAATTCGTTGTCGACATGTCCGTCGCAAAGGGACTAGCGAACAGCGACATGGAAAAAGCTTGCGCCTGCGGAGTTTGTGTTTTCGAAGGGACACACTACTTAGTTACTTGGGTGCGGCTCAAAATTCAAATGCTGGGGTTACGAGGAAAACCAAGGGGCCATTTGGGTACATCTTTTTGAGCCACAGCCAAATGTGTTTGTTGGCTTTGAACAACAGCGCTTACACGATTCCAAGTGCCGAACGTTGGCTCAAAAAACGCTTCTGCTCAGAGCCAGGTGTCTCCAGCCCAAAACGTGAGGACCAGGGGGTTCTGTTTTCAGGGGGTTCAGGAGTGTAGGCTTTACTTCTTGTTTCCCTCTAGAACCACCCAAAAAGAGGAGCCCGCAAGCAAGCACAAACACGCGCGCGCACACACACACACACAGAGTGCTTTTTGGGACGGTGTCCTTTTGTTGGTGGTTTTAAAAGGAAACACAAAAGGAACACCTAAGAACGGACACACTCAGTCGTCAAGGACTATGTTGTTTTCCTTCTGCAACCATATCTGTTCCCCAGTCTTACATGCCTTGCAAATCGCGAAGGAGCAGATGCAAAGGTTCTTGCCAAAGACGCAGGACAAGGACGTGGCTCGAGACTCCCATTTCGTTTTTAGCAGGGTGTTGCAACCATTTGAAACATGTTGCTTTTTCAGACACCACCATGTACAGGGCAATGTTCTGGTGTATAATGTAAGGATCCCTGTTCAGTTTGTGTTTTACCACAAGACGCTTATAGCGTGACAAGCAGTGTTGATGTCAGTTTGTATTGATTTGTTGATTGTGTGTTCCAGCCTGTCGCCCGTGCGATATGGTTGTTTGTTTGCTTGCTTGGTTGCTCGGTTGATTGATTGCTTGGTTGCTTGGTTGATTGGTTGATTGGTTGAGCTGCTCGTTTGCTTGTTTGTTTGAGTATGCGTGCTTCTCTGTGCATGTTGTATCCTTGAAAATTGGCAGTTTCTTCACAGTTCACCTGTCGTTACCTTTTTTTTTGTTCCCGAAAGCCAGCTACCAGGTCCTGTCATAGCTGCTGCTGCTGTGTTTGCCTCCCAACCGGACGGAACACGGGAATGGCAAAGCAGACCGATTGTATACGTGGCACCTGCATTGAAAGAACATGTATGGCCATGTGGCTGCGATGTTGCCTATTTGTGCATGTTTCAACTGCAACTTGTGATCACCTTGGTTCATGTTGGGGGCGCTCTCCCAGTGGATCTGTCAAGAACAAGCAAACATATGGTTCTGTTGTTTGCTCTGTGTAAGCCTTTCCTTCGCATAAATTCGGTCAGTTTCTACTCGTATGAATGGTTTTCACCGATTTCCTCGCGCTCGGCGCGTAACACGCGGGACAATCTTTTTTGAGGGTACCCGTGGTGGGCGTAGTTTGCAGGGAAATGAAAAGGAAAGAGGAGGCCATGTTGGGTCCTATATTGACCACGAATCCAGTTATTGCACGCCATGATTCACAGGAGGATGTTGAAGCAAAGTCGGAGGAAGTCCATGACAAGCCCAACACAGGCGCGCGCTCTTAGTAGGAAAGATGGTTATCAGGCTGATGTTAGTTTCCAAAGGGTTACCCACAAAGCAAAACACTCCCAAACGAATGTAGCTGAGTCACGATTTGTCATTGATTCGCACAGCTTTCAACGGGTCATGCCAGGTGTCCAGTTGCTGGAGTAGATTCCGCCTGCATCCTGCATGTTGAGTTGATTCTTCAATATACAGGTGCAAGTGTACTGCTTTGGAGGCTAACCGGATTAAACAGACTTCACTGTTGTTGGCATGTTTTTTTTTGTTTTTTGGGTTCTGTTCCTTTTTAGTAGGGGGTTGCAAAAAAAACACAAACGTATTTTGCTACCATACCCGTTTGGGTTGGCAAGTGATTTGAGTTCTGGAAGCCCCACGTTGATTCAGGATCCCAATCCAAAGTGGGGTTAAACAAATCTGATGATGCATATTATGAAGTTTTTGGGTATGGCGTCCAAGTAGGTGGACCCCCTAAAATGGTGGCGTTTTTTTTTTGGCTTCCTAAAAGGTAGCGACTCGGAAATAGAATTCATGCGTTGGGCAGTTTCAAGATGCTTTCCGATCCCATATCTTTCCCTTCTAGTGGTTTATAGTGTTAACCCCGGATTGATAAACTCCTGGTAGAGAATTACGGTGTGGTCCCCTTGTGTCAAAGCAAAAATAATATTCAGGGCTTGCGACTTTGTTTCACGAACCCTTTTTAAGTTGGTGTCTTGAGGGACCCCGACACTGTAAACCACCAAGGGAAGACATAAACATCGAAGGGGGCACCAAAATGATCCCTGCCATTTCTTGCTGGTGCATAGGGAATGACCTTCCTGGTAGGCATGGTGTTTTTTTGCGGGGTCCTTCCATTTCTCCTTCCCCTATCAAACCAGCAAGTCCTTATCATTTTCCCTTGGACCCTCCCAAAGTGGCAGGTAATTGCCATGGTTTAATGGACGTGTTTCCCTCCAATGGAACCTTTGCCTTTGCGATAGCGCACAGTGTCTGTTCGACGCAGCGATTTATTGGGGGGGGGAAAGAAGGAGAAGGCCCCTCCAATGGAAGGTTCAATGGCAATCCGGTCACTGCAACTTGCGAAATCCAGTGACCGAAACCCTGGCTGAGTCGTCCCCGAAGAACCTCCGCACTTCGAGGTCGGCGAGCGCCCACGTCTTTTCTTTGCATTGTGCCAAGGGATGTCAGGACTTGGACAAATTTTTGCCAACCAACGGGTTTTCCGTTGAACCACGGAAAAAGTTAGTCACTTGTAGCAAGGGAGACAGAAAGCAGCACATGAGCAAGGGATTATGGGTGCTAAGTTGCCCATAGTTTGCAAAATATGTACCTTTGACCGGAAGCCAACAGGGAATCGTTGTTTATTTAAGATGGGTAATGGAGCAAAACCAATTGTTTCAATGGTTTTGAAAGCAATGTTTAACCATCTGTTTAAGAATATTATCTATTTTCCCCTGTTGGTTTTGAAGGGAACCGATTTCACTACTGGACATATATACATGTGTATATATATATATATATATGTTTTTCCAGGGGGCGAAAACGCACATGGAAGAATCCCAGCCGCTGTGGTTTTTCCGCCGGATCGATCCACGAGGCGTGGCGGAGCTGCGACGGCGGGTGGAAGATCTGCAAGAGGTGCTGGACGAGCAGCGGCTCACGCCGCTTCGCGCGGAAATTTAAAGCGAGCGACACCGATCTGGGTGGAAGGCCTTTTGGTGGAAGATCTGGCCATGGGTCAAAAGGAACACCCCAATCCCCAGCTCAAAAACATGTACTTCAATGGCACCTGGCTAAATGGAACCAAAGACTAAAACCTGCGGTTTGCCCTATGGCCATGGGTCAAAAGCCAATCGTGCCCCCAGTGAACATCCCAATCCCCACTAAAATAGGTTCTAAAATGGGTGGTGCACCTACCCCAAAATGGGATCCCAAAACGGTTTTGAGCCACACCCATATTGTCTGTCTTTTGTGTGGGGTAGACTTAGGCTACACGTTACATTTTACCAGTAACTGAAAGTCAAGGAAACAATAGGACATACTCTACCCATCTGTTTTGGGGGAACCCCTGTTTGGTCGGTTTTAAAGGGCACTGACAGGAAAGCCACCATCTTTTCCTTTTCCTTTTGGCAGGAAGGTCCTTTTTCCCAAAACAAAAACAAAAAACACCCGGGCAAAGCAAAGGGATACCTGAAGGGGTCGGTAGGCCCCAGCATGGGATTTTTCGGGAGCCATTGGAAGCACCCATTGGGTGTGGCTGTTTTTAGGACTCCGACCACGAAAAATAATTTCAGATGTCCTCTAGGTCCCCCAGCTAGGTGCCTGTTTTACCAACTTGTTTGGTTGGGAGGGTTCCCCTGCTAAAAGAGACTACAGAAAAAATAGGGTACCAACTTATTCTAACCTCTCCACTCAAAGCCTAGTCCTAGTGTTCCTTTGAACCGAAAACAAAGATCTCCAAAAAACACCAAGTCGAGAGAGGGACTTTTCTGGGGCTGTGTTTTGTTTTGAGGCAAAGGGTATCCTGTTTGGGGTTGGCTTAAGAAGGTGTCATGACCCCTAAATGCAGCCCAAAAAAGCACTGCAAACCACTTTCAAAAACACCCCCCTGCAAACAAAACCCTGGCAATCCACGACTGTTTTTTTAAACGTCCTTTGCACCTCGCCTGTTTTTTGCAGCTAAAGCCTGTTTTTTGCGCCTGCCATGAGCCATGGCGTGGTATTTGATGGATTATTCATACTGCTGCCACGTTTAGATTCTACAAAGCCTGTTCCATCCCAACATGTCTTGACACAACAATTTTGGTGTGAACATAGCGGTCCGTGATGCGCGCAAAAGTAGCGTGAAATCACCGTGAAATTGGCGTGAAAGCCCGTTTTCCAGCGAAAAAGCTCGTTTTCTGCCGTGAATCTTGACACCGGTGAATCTATGTGTTTCAGCCTGTCCTTTGGTAATCCCTCCGCTTGTTCTGTGGGAACGGAGGTCAAGTCTTTGCACACTTTGGTCCTGAGCACGTGCGGCGCCCGAATTGTTCAATGACATCAGCTGAGCTTGGACAAAGCTACTCCTGGCAAAAAACCACCTTTCACAGAAAACATGCAAAATAAACCGCCTTTGGAACCCCAGGAAAAAGAAAAAGCAACCTCCCAACACTTTTCAGGGGGTACCTGTTTGATTTTTCAAAAAGGATCCGGGAAACTCCAGGAGAAAAAAAAACAGGCAGCTGCGACAGATGGCCACGTCGCTGCCGGAGCTGGGCGCGCAAATGCAGCGCCTGGGGATGCAGCATGCCGAGGTGGCCGCGCCTCGGACGTGGCCTGGAGGGGGCTCGTTTCGGCCGGTTTTCTGGATATGGGTGTGGCAGGGGTTCCCCCAAAGCATGGTTACTGGGGTAGACTTAGGATACATTTTACATTTTACCAGTGACTCAAAGTGAAGCAAACAATAAAATGTACATTCTATAACTCTACCCCAGACAGCGTGGGTGAAAATTAAACCACTGGGGGACCGCAGGTTTTAGTCCATGTTTCCATTTACCAGGGTCCATTCTGGGTACCTATTTTTGACCCACGGCCATATGAGTGTGGCCCAAAACCGTTTTGGGATCCCATGCACCACGCATTTTGGAACCTATTTTAGTCGGGATTGGGATGTTCACTGGGGTACGATTTGGCTTTTGACCCATGGCCATATGGGCGTGGCTCAAAATCAAGCAGCTGGGGCAAACCGCAGGTTTTAGTCTTTGGTTCCATTTAGTCAGGTGCCATGTGAGTACATTTTATTGAACCACAGCCACATTCATGTCACATTCCTCAAGACATGTAGACAGCGCAGCATTGAACTGCGGGTGTCCCATTCTTGCCATAGATCGTCAAGGGGAGGAGGTTTGGGTATAACAGAGAGCAGGGACTAACTTCCGTTCACAACTGTGGATAAAATAATCATCAAGCGATCACAATTTACGCACATGTGCGGCAGGAGCAATTGTGGAAGCGCGCACTTACTGTCCTTTCAGAAGCAACCAGAACCGCGCAGATGCATTTGGCATATGAATAGCATGTTGAAAATCAGACATCCCAAGAGACACCAAAAGGAAACCAACCATATTGGTTTTGCCCGTATGAGAAAACTCCATTTCCGAGGTTCAAATGCAAATGTGAGATACGCCCATGTCTGGGGGGTGACAAGGGGTGGTCTTCTATTTCGATCCAACCGCGGCCATTGCGAGGCGAAGACGGAATCGTTCGAGGTGCGCTTGGACCTCACCCGGACGTGTCTTGGATCCGGCGTTTTGGAGAGCCAGCGAGGGTTGGGTGTTTTTGGGTTGCTCCAAAAGCGCGGAGTTCAACAGTTCCCAGCGATCCGGTTCCGGAAAGGGGTTTTACCATGTTGCTTCTTCTTTTTTTCTTTCCTTTCAACCTCTAAGGGTGGATTTTCTCTAAGGGTTTCTTAAGGGTGGAGTTTTCTTAGCTCTAAGAGATTCTGTCTTAGGTTTTTTCTCTAAGGGTGGATTCCAACCATTATTTTCAAGCATCGTTTTTTTCAAAAGCCAGCTATTTTCCCCGGGTTTCCGGAGGTTTTCTAGAAAGAAGGATCCCTGGAAAGAATGGGGAAGGTACCCCTAGATTTTTAGGTGGATTAGTGGTTGGGTTTCCATTTATAGCCCAAGCTAAGCTTTCAGCAGGGGATTTGGGAGCAGGTTTATGTCCCCAGGCTTTAGACATCAACTTCGGCGCCATCTTGGAGGGAAAGAAGAGATCTAGCACGCATCCTTTTGGTGTCCTTCTTAAAATACCGACCAAAAGGGCTCCAAATCCCGTTTTGAGAAACTGCAGGTCGGACACCCCTCCAGGCGCGAGCCCAGGTAAGCTCTAGCCTTTTTCCAAACACAGTCACAAGAGGACTGTTTTTGGCGTGTCAGGCTGTCGCTGTCTTCCCCGCAAGGTGTTGAACATCACAACTTTTGTGTTGTCGGCCCATGACGAACTTGCTCTACCGTGCTGATTGCAGTCCCTCAATGTCTCAGTTGCCCAAAGCGAATGGACCGGATCTGACCTAAAAATGTGTCCCTAGTCTTGTCTATAGTCAAGGGCCCAAGAGGTGGTCGCCTTTTATTGCCAACTCCCTAAGCGGCAAGTGGGATCTGGGACTGCGCACATTTGCATGGCGACGGGCAATGCTACTTCCGCTTGCGCCGGCTGGCAGAGGCAGATCGATCCCGGTATTGGGCGCGCCTTTCTGGGTGCCCCTCTTGTTGTCGGGCATTGCGGTGATGATGCCCATATTAGTCCACCCTGTGATCCGACTCCCCAAGCCCAGGGACAGCCAGTAAACCGGGGTGGATGAATATCGGGGGGTCAGCCTGGTCATGGGTTTTTTTCACGCGCCCTTGTGTTTCTGGCTGGGCCTTCAGGCTGATCACCCGGTGGCTTGTTGGCCCCCGGGGGAAATGGGAACTGGAAGCGGGGTCGCGCGACTCGTCGCGGGAGTTGATGGCTTGCTTGGGCAGCTTGAAAAGTTAACCCTGGCAGAGCGTGCGAAATCTGGGGCAACCGGCCAGCGCTTCACCTTGGGTTTCTTCAATCAAGGATTGGTCACGTTGGGCGGTTCTACTACCTGATTGGGGATATAGTAAAGCGTATATAAACTTCACCACCATCTTTGTAGAACCAACAAATTGATGGGTTTCAGTACAATTTCCCATTCCCCCCCCCCCAACCGACCCCTCCCCCCCAAGCAAATATGGCCAAGTAGCTTTAACACTTCAACACATACTGTCCTTCCCAAACAAATACTTAAAGGGGCATTGTACTAAGCCCCTGCTTATAACCCACTGATCATAGTTACAAGTCTCCGTTCAGTGGGTTGCAACCAGGCTTACGAACCACTTACTGAGCTTGGTGGCTCCCAGACATCCCCTTAGCTTTGTAGCCTTTTAGTGTTTAGTGGTAGGTGTTCATTCAACCCACTGAAAGTTAAACTTTTTAGCCGGGGATCTGAAAACGGGCAGCCCAGCAAGTACAATTCCCATTTCTTGACTGCTATTAGGCACGGATCTTTAGACTTTAACTTTTTGGTTTAAAATCATTTGGGGGTTTCCACTAAACCCCAAAAATGTTAATTAAACTTTTTGCAGGGGGGTCGTTGCAGCAACCAAGCTGTAAGTCAATGGGTTCCACTGGTTTCCCTTGTTAATATTTTATTCAAAGTGGTTCCAAACGAACACGTGTGAGGCAACCAAGCTTTCAGTCAGCCCTAAAAACTGTGCCTTGCTTGTCGCACCAAGGAACCTGGAGACGCAGGAGCAGCAGCTCCGGCTGCAAGAAAGATTGCACGAATCCCGGGCCGTTGGTTCATATGGCTGTGGTTGTCAAATCCAAACAAAAGTTCCCCCAAAAAGATGGTTAGAGTCTATTCTATTGTTTGCTTGACTTTCAGTTCCTGGTAAAATGTAACCTGTATCCTAAGTCTACCGCATACAAAAGACAGACCCATATGGCGGTGGCTCAAAACCGTTTTGGGATCCCATTTTGGTTGGTAGGTGAATTCACCACCCATTTTAGGCTTTAGTTCACTGGGGGAAAACCGGGATTTTGACCCATGGCATGGATTCAATTTTTAGGTAACCCTTGGTTGGTGGTTGGGTTTTCCATGTAGTACAAGAACCAGGGGCTCCAACTTTCAGCTTCCCTCTAGTTGGTGATTGTTTACTGGTGGTTTGGATTTGGATTTGAGCCCCTGGTTCCTGTAGAGGGCAAATCGGAAACCACCTACCAAACCACCCAACCAGCAAGTAGACGGAAGCTGAGATGTCGTGTTTCTTGGTCGGATGGACCTCAACCCTTGTCCAACCCGAATCGACCGGTTTTGACCTTTTGGATTCCCTGAGTCCATGTTTATGCAAGGTTCCAAAAGGAAAATGGTGAACCTTTTATTTCCACGTCACTTACGGGCAACAGAGCAGTGACTGTGTCTTTTTTGAGGGTACCCTTTTTGAAAAGGGTCGGGTTCAAGGGAAGCCAAAAGGAAACCACCCATGTTTTTTGAGGGGAGTTCCCCATTTAGAAACAAACCCAAGTCAATGATTGGCTACTGTAAGTCGACATCATGCGAAGCTTGACCATGCTGAGAAGCTCCCATGTGAATCATCTATGACTCTGAGATGTTTACCAAGCATCAAGCGGAAAAGCACCACCTAGAGCCTCCTTGAAGCTTGTTCTAAGAAGATGTGAGGACTGAAGCCATGATAGTCGTGAAACCTGTTGGCTCAACAGCCAGCAATTGCCCTTGGTTTCAAGCGTTTTGATGCCTGGAGGGCTGAGAGGCCGTGGAATTGTCATGTCGCGGACGGTTTGATAGAAGTTGCGACCCTTGATTTTGCATCCGCATCTGGAGCCACACTGCATCCAATTCCTTTTACGGTGAGCATCAACCAAATACCAAAGCTGTATGGCGATTTGCTTGGATCTTTGGACTTTATGTTTTTTGGTCGAATGCTTGTGGATAGTTTCCTGCATTGAACCAACGAAAGCCAAAAAGCTGTTTGCAGAGGTGTCAACAGAAGAAAGAGAGAGTGCCAAGGATTCTCCGACTTGTTTTTTTTCTTCTCATTATGTAGGTCAGCAGGTATCTGATACTTTGTAGTGCCTTCGGTTGTTTTATGTTTCACACTTCACAGAATGAGCCTCCAACTAGCCGGACATGTGGGTATGGACGGTATGGGTCAAAATTCAACCATCAGATCAGGAAACCGCAGGCCTTAGCCCTTATTTCCATTTACCAGGGCTTCAGCTTGGGTATTCCTCCCTACTTTGACCTACACCCATGTCATGCAGAGACTTTTTTTGCTGCAGCTTGCTTTTTCTTTGCAGAGTCGAGAGCTAGATAATTCCCATTAGCTCCCCTTTTGGGGTCCCCTTTGTTTTTGGTTGGGGTCCCCTTTGTGTTCTACTAACCAGGCAAAACATATTGTTTTTTGCTTGGGTCCTAATTCCAAACAAGGATGGGCTGAAAGCCATGAATCTATTTCTTCGACTTGCTTGTGGCTATTGTGGCTTTAGACATCACTTTGGGGCCATGTGTTGCAGGGAGTTTGCAAGTTTTGGTGGGGTAGGGTGTAAAGAGGGAGCATATCTTTCATCTTCTGAGACGACTCTGTTTTTCATGTTCCCTGGATTGAAAGGGAAACGATGTCACTACTGGAAATATGTTCTCATTCTTTGAAGCAAGCTTAAGCAAATGGAAGTAATTTCTCGATGAGCGCGTCGTTTCCTTGATCACATCTTTGTTTCTGTTTTCTTCTGCTGTTTTTTCAAACACAAGCCAGATATATGCGCTAGTGGCATTCCGACTTGCGCCTGGAAAGAGCGTCTTGCTTGTGCAAACATCGGGTGTAGCATCAGCTTTGCCACTCTCCTTGAGAATAGATAGCAAACCGATTTGGGCAGAACTTTCATTTGCTTAAGCTTGTTTTGTGTTTTTCCTTGTTGACTTTAAAAGGCATTCATCACTACTGGACATATTTTTGTTCTACGGATCTTAGCCAAATGGAAGAGACGCTTTCCCTTGAAACCACCCAAAAAAGGGCCTGGTTTGTTTCAGCCAATCAAACAGGGCTCCTTAAAAGATACATTTTGCCCATTTGAAACATGGCTTTCTCCACCAAAATCAAGGGACACCACCTTTTACAAGGCAATGTTCAGGTGTATAATGTAAGGATCCCTGTCAAACCCTGAAAAAGAAACATACCCCAAAAGGGGCCCCCTCAAAAAGGGTCCCTGGGTTTGTTTTCCGACACAAAACCCTGAAAAAGGGGGGAAACACGGGACCCACACGGCGCGTGTTTTCCCATCGGTCGGAGTTCACCGCACGAAGCGCTTCGAGGCGTCTTCAGTCGCTGGGCGAGCGCGTGGATCGCGCTTTGGACCGGCAGGGCCCAGGCAAGCGCGATTGGATGCGAGAATCAGCGGGAGAGGGAGGCCGGGTAGAAAACAACAAAAACAAATAAGTACCCAAAAATTATTTAACAAACAAATATGGGTAAAAGCTTATGAAATTATTGTTCATAATTCCAAAGGGATTATGTGAACTTGTTCTTACTCTGTAGCCCAGTGGTGCCAAAAAACACAAAACACTTTTTGTGGGAAGGGTTCCGATTCTTTTAAAGTCAAGCAACCAAGAAAGGATGCCCGTCTTTTTCCCATGGTCACTGGGCATCTGAGCTTAGATTTGCCTTTTCAACGGTGTTCGATTCGAGTTTGCAGCCAAAATCATCTCCAAATCCAAGGAAAACAGCGGCCAGCTGCATGATCATCTTGTCACGCTTGTTTAGAGTTGTGTAAACCATAGTCCTTCCGGAGGAAGTGGTTGGTATCCTAGATGACCTATTTGCAACCAGGCTAGCTGCACTTGGGACTAACTCGGTTACAACCACTCACTCACTTGGCCGGGCATCCAAGAAAGTAGCTTCAACAATGCTACCCACGCAACAAACAAGGTGATTCTCGGAGGGGACTCTGAAAAGGGTAGTTTCCTTGTGGTTTCCCATCATCCCAAAAGCCATCCATTTGGGTACCCTCCAAAACAAAGAGTTCCTCGCAAAGGCCACTGAAGACAAGCTTTCCTACTCATCTCAGGAGCGTTTCACCCCTGGAGCAGCTTGTATTGCCTTCCGTCGAATGCCTGGGCCGACCTGAAATGACCTTATGGTCTCCCCGTGGTCCACTTGAGTGATGGCCCCAAAAGCTCAGTTGCCCAGTGGATTCCGCCCTTTTTGCAGCTTTTTTTTGGGAAGGGCTCCGATTCCTTTAAGGTTTTACCAAGACAGGATGCCCTTTTCTGGGCATCTGAGCATAGATTTCCCTTTTCATTTGTGTTCGATTTGGTTCCCCTTTGAAGCCAACCCAGAAAGGATGCCGATTCTTTCCCATGAAAATCCACTGGGCCTCTGAGAAAAGTGATCGCCTTGGTTTCTGGGTCCGGGGCAACTGAGCCAACTGAGCCGACTTCGGATCGAGCAAGACACGTCAGCAGCGGGAACAACCTTGGCCTCTGAAGAGAATGGGATTCCACATGATCCGTTGCCAGGATCATCTTTCATTTGCTCAAGATATGTGTTCCCTCTGGTTTAAAAGGGAATCGATTTCACCATGGGAAATATGTTTATTATGTGTTTTTTTGTTTTTTCCCCTAGGGAGCTTAAGCAAATGGAGGTCATGGTCCTGAGCACTTGAATATGCTGCCTCGCATTGTGGATGGCAGAGACGGTTCTATGCACAGCGATGCCGCGCGTAGCACCCTTCAAACCACCCTTGGAGATGCTAAGGGGCGATATGTCGCTTCTTGTTGTCCACAATCCAGTGCACGGTGGCCGCGCATCAAACAACCTTTCGATGTTCAGGGCATTGCCGTACTTACGGACGTGCAGTTTGAAACCGGAAGTTGCGTTTGCTGCGTCTCCATGAAAAAAACATCTGACCCGGCACTGGTTCGAAGGCAAGTTGAGGAGAATAGTTTCTGCCGGTGTCACTTGCATCCACGTTTCGGCACGGTGCCTTTGGTTCAGATGAGGATCTTGATGGGTGCAGCCACTTCAAGCTTTCTGTCACTCTGCGGAAGGTGCACCCATTCTTCTGGAGAGGCAGAACAAGATGAAGTCGTTGAAGCAGGTTCACTTCGACGCGGCCCCATGTCTGCAGAGGTTTTTCCGTGCCTTGTGACTCTGGCTTAAACTTTGTGCAACGAGTTCTTGCAGTTGCTTTCGCACGTCCGATTGCAGCCGCTTGGTCTTAGGAAGTTCTCGCCCGAGGCCTCATGCCGTGGCCAGCCACCATATTCAGTGCTCCAAGAAAAAAATGATTTGCCAAGAATCAATTGGGTCGGTTGCCCAAGTTGTTACGTGCTTTCGCGTCGATACCCCGTTTTATTATCCGGCAACGCGCAGGACCTGAACTTCACTTCCGGTCCGGAAAGCCTCCCAATGCATGTTAGGTTTCAGCCACATTTGCGAACTAAAATGAGCAGTGTCCTTCTTGAACTTTTAGTTTCCATGTTCAAGGCCCAAAGGGTACCGTATCCCTCTGTGCCTCTCGCGGAGGGAGCAGTCATGTCACCTTTAGTCCCACCTGCAGTCATTTTGCTCGCAGAGTTGCTTAGGTGCTCCCGAAAGAAATGGACGTGAGTTTCGAGCCGAAGATTGCGCCGGCGACTCTGCCGCACTTGAGTACCTGGCACGTCGGGAGAAGCGCAGATCCTGAAATGGGAAGCAGCGCAGAGCAAGGCAGTCAGCCGGTGTTGTGATGGGTCAGTCAGCTTCCAGTTCAGCATGGGTTCGAGTCATGCCATACACCGCGATGTTCCGGATCAATTCAGCGCTCCATGGATTCGAGCCACACCATGAGCTCCAAGGATTATTAGCAAGTCATTCATTCAGGATGGTGTTTCAGCATGGATTATTACCACACCATGAGCTCAGTTTCCCATACAGAGAGCCCAAAGGTATGGGCACCCTGCATGCGTCCGACTTTCTTGTAACAAGGCCCCGCAGTCTTGGATCGGTGAGCCGAGCCCAACATGAAGCGCCTCCCCGACTTTGGGATGCTGAGGATTTTGGATTTTGGATCGGTCTCGGAATTTGGTGGCCAGTCATTGTGAGCCTCTGTCTGCAAATCTTGGTGGCTTCCAGCCGTCTCCTTAGCTTGTTAGGCTTTTAGGGTTTGCATTAAGCCCGCAAGAAGTGAAACTCTTCGCGGGGGATCTGAAAACGGGCAGAAATAGCGGATTCCATGATGTGACTGCTATTGGGTTGGATCTTTAGACTTTGACTTTTTGGTCGAAATAAAGGTGTTTTCTACTAAACCCCCCCAAAGGTGAACAACTTTTTGCAGGGGGGTCGTTGCAGCAACCAAGAAATGCTTTGGAGCCGGAAACCATAAGGAGACCCAACCTGACAAGACGCTTCTCGCCGGTCCGAAGTCCGAAGGCGACAAAGCTCTCCACCGATGCGGCGAAGGTCCTTCAGAAAGTGGCCACTGGAAGCATCGGAGCGTCGCGCAATTTTTGGCGGACTCGGGTGGTCCAAGTTACGGATGGGGGAGACCCCCATTTCAATCTGGGCAAATGAGAACGACAGCACCTTCCGTTTTTTTTTTGCGACAACACCCATGAGGACTATTTTGTTTAATAGATTGGGGGCTCCCATCCATCCGGTTGCTTGGCTTTTTAGCCTTTTGGTGTTTGGAGCTTGTTACTTTGCCTCTACTGCTATTGGGCTGGATCTGTAGACTTTAAGTTTTTTGGATTCCCCTCACATTTCCGTTTAACCAGCAAGAAGTTGCGGACTCCTTGCTTGGGTGTTTGGCCAAATTAACTTGGTGGCTCCCAGCCATCCGGCTCCTTGGCTTTTTAGCCTTTTGGTGTTTAGTGGTGGGATTCTCATTCACCCACTGAAAGTTAAACTTTTAGCGGGGGATCTGAGGACAGCCCAGGCAAGTAAGTGGTTGGCATCCTAGGTAACCAATTTGCCACCAGGCAAACTGCGTTTGGACTTAGAAGTGGGTAACCGAGTAACCACAGACACTAAGTTCACTGCTCACCCAAGTGAAGATCTAGCTGTAGCTTTCCCATACTCTTCAGGCCACCTTCTCATACAAATCGCAACATCCCTGCTTGGGTGTTCGCCAAGTTAGCAAGTCGTAACGGCAACCGTTCGGCTATAAGCCACTTATGAGTCCCCCGTCCGTGAATGTGGGGTGAACCTTGTAATGAGAGGGTGAGAAATCCTCAAGTGGTCTCTGTGTGTGGGGCCGGGCGCTTCCGGTAGGCTCAGGGGTGCCACCACACGATTTGGTCGCGTGTGGTCACTGGTGTGCCAGAGGCAAACCAACCCACACGCCCGTTGCTCTCTCCTTGCTGTGTACCTTTGCTCCCTTTGTTCGCCTTGCTGCTGCCACTGCCTCGTCCTTCGCGCTTTCGTTTCCGCAGGCGTCGCGCTCTCACGCAGCTGCGCTCCATGAGGCGTCATGGTTCCTCAAATCACAGCCGCGAACGCTTGACTTTCTGTTGAGGCTCCGCTACGCCGCGGAGGGCAAGCTGGCGCGCTGGACGCTGTGCTTGCCCTGCCATCGCCTGACTTGGGGCGAGGCCTTTGCCGCGCGTAGTGCTGTTCCCGTCGTTGCCGCAACATCTTGCGCAGGATGGCCGCGCCCGGAACCGGCACTGCTGGCCGAACCGGGGCTGCGCGCGGCCTCCCGTGGGCGAATTCTGCCTAACTTCCGCTCCACCGGAACTGGTGCCCCTGCCGAAGTTCTTGCGCCGCAGTCGTTGCGTCTCGCTTTGCCAGGTGCGCCACGCTCCTCCCCCACGACGACGCCTTTGCCGCAAGCTGCCAGTGCTGCTCGCCGTGCGCCAGCTTGGTGGAGTCGCTCTTTCGCTCGACCCGCGCGTTGTTACCCTTAGGTCTCTTTGTCCAGCGCTCCGCCGCCGCGTGGGCTTCAACTTGCTCGGTCGCTTTGCTTGAGTTCTCTCAGGCTGCCCCCCGCGCAGACGACATGCGAGCCGTGCCACCGGGAGCAGGCCACTCCTGTTCGACGCTCAGTCTCTGTTCGAGAACTCTGTTGTTGTTTGGTTGACCTGTCCCCAGCATGTCCAAGGCTAGCATTTTGACGCGCGCGACGCCCTCAGCTTGCGTTCCAGTCTTGACCGTCCTTTTGCCCTTCTTTCCAGGCAACTTGCCGGCGGGCCTCCTGTGCGTCGAGTTTCGCGCGCCAGGCGCGCAGAACCCTTCAACTTTCCGTTTCCGCCCATGCCAAACTGTCCAGGTGCCGGTCGCGAACTTGCGCGCTCACAAGTCCTTGTGGCGGAGGCCTTAGCTCCGAGCCCTGGCCTTGCCCCATCCGTTTCCGCAGCGTTGCCTAGGCACACCGAGCCCGGGCGGCAGGTTCAATGCGACTCCTGCGACGTGCTCCGGGCCAAGAGTCACGCCGCGCCCAGCCACGCGCTGTCATCAAGTTTCTCAGGTTCGTGCCCAACACGGACAAGACTGTTTTTTGGGAGGACCCCCGTCGCGGCTCCCCCCAACCCCCCCAACTCCTCCCCCTTTTTGCCAACCCCCCCTCCCCCCCCCAACTGTTGCCGGCCTTGCCTTTGTCGCTGCTGCTGCTGTTGTTGTTGTTGTTGTTGTGGCTGCTGCTGCTGCTGCTGCTGCTGCTGCTGCTGCTGCTGCTGCTGCTGCTGCTGCTGTTTTTTTTGAGCCTCCGGCTCTTTCCGCCGACCTTGAGGACGTTCCTGGGCACGTTCTTTCCCGGCCTTGTGTTCTAGGCGCGTGACTGGCGGGTGCTCTTCTCCCGCGCCTTTTCTTGTTTGACGGTTTTGCGTGTTTATTCTTTTTCTGCGGGTGTGCCAGCCTACGGGGTGCTCCCCGATTGTCTTGCTGGCGCTCGCCTATGGGGTGCTCCCCAACTGTTTTGCGGGCACGGGGCGCTCCCCCCTTGTCTGGTGGGCGCTCACATTCATGGGGTGCCCCCCGCTTGTTTTGCGGGCGTGCTCACTGGCGCTCTATGAGGTGCTCCCGATTGTTTCGCGAGCTTGCTCGCTCATGGGGTGCTCCCATTTTGCTTTCTGCAGGCCACGGGGTGCTCCCCATTGTCCGGGCGCTGTACGAGGTGCTCCCGATTGTTTCGCAGGCGTGCTCACTCATGGGAGCGCTTCCCTATTGGTGTTCTGCAGGCCCGCCGGCCCACGATCCCCAACTCTCATGCCCAAATGCTCGCGGGCACGCTCGATTATGAGCTCTCGTTTTTATGCTGCTGGTACCGCAGGCTCCCCCTTTCGCCAGGCAATGACATTTACGGAGCCTGGGGCGCTCAGCCAGTCTGAGCTCCAAGTGGAGGGGGCAAGGCGGCTCCGGAGCTTCCAGCCGGGATGGCGCCTTAGGCAGGGCCCTGCGCTCTGGCGCAGAGGCTTCTTCTCTCTCAGGTCTCTCTCTCCCTCTCTCTCTCCCTCCCTCCCTCCCTCCCTCCCTCGCTCTCTCTCTCTCTCTCTCTCTCTCTCTCTCTCTCTCTCTCTCTCTCTCTCTCTCTCTCTCTCTTTCTCTCTCTTCTAATCACTTACTAACTTGGCGGACATCCATAAGTGGGAAATGGGTGGTTTCCGAGAACGATGTGTGAAAGAATGGGGAATCGACCCTGAGAGTGGAGCGCGAATGAAGGCAAAAGAGTAGGAGAAATATTCAGAATCAAGAGACCGTTTGAATGATTACCTCGCAATACGTTGGTTCGGCTTCTCTGCAATGCCGATTAAAACCAGGCCCTCGATTTTCAAATGAATCGGTGTTCCCAAACAGCTTCAGCTGTCAGGTTCTTGTTCTGCCTCCATTTGCTTTACATATATTTTTTAAAACATATTTTCCCGTGTTGGTCTGAAAGGGAATGTGTCACTTGGCCTGTTCTTTCCAGGGGACGCGGTTCAGAGCCAGGGCGGATGTTGGGGCTGGATGCCACCCGTAGAAGACTGGTCCGCGCAGAGTCTCGCGAACGTTTTTCCACACGGCTCGCAAACAAAAGGCCCTTGTTCCACAGTTTCGCAAAAAGCGATATGAGGGCGATGAGGGGTGGATGATCCTTTCAGCATAGTTTATGGCGAGCTCACCGAGTCGGGGGTAAATCAAGCTCACCATCATGGTGAAGATCCTTTACCTCAAGATCCTTTATTTCAGGTTTTGGACATATTGTACAATGTTCAGATCTTTTCTTTGGCGCATTTTGCTTGGATGTTAGGGCTTTAATTTTTCGCCAACTAATGGGTTTCCCCCATCAAACCAACAAAAAGTTAGTCACGTTTAGCAGGTTCTCCCATGTTCTCCCCCTGAAAAAGGTTCGTTGGCTCTCGCGCTGGGAAATCGCCGGATCCAGTGAAACTTTGTTGGTTCCGTTCTCATGGCCCTCGGTTCGAGTTTCGGATAGTGTTCAAGTTGTGTCACTGTAGAAAGGAGGCCGCGAGCTGACGCTCAGGAGGATCTTGCCAAAGAAGCCAAGCACCGCAGGGAAGCCTCTTGCCAGAGACAAGTTGCGATCGAGTGCCTTCGATGTGGAGCGGTCCCCCAGCTAGGTGCCCTTTCTCTCACCCCAGCTAAAATAGACGTCCTGAAAAAAATCCGGTACCAACTTTTTCTGACCTCTCTACTGGAGGACCTAGATGTGACGCTGTCTTCCGTGAATCCGATGTGGACAAACGTCACGTCAACAGAGCGGTTCCTTTGCTTGGGGTTAACAGGGAGGATGATTCATCTGGAGAGGATCCATAACAACCACAATGATGCCTGCTAAGCTTCCATTTGCTTAAGAGTATGTTTTCTTCTGTTGGTTTAAAAGGAATCTATCACTACTGGGAATATTTTTATTTATTTCCGGGGGACTTAAGCAAATAAAAGTAAGGGAACCATGACCATAGGCCATAAACAGTTTTCACCATGCCTCGGGTGCTGCCGGATGATTGTTGGTGCTGGTGCGCCAAAGTGTGCCAAAGTTTAGGACACCCCCTTGCAAGACCGGTCTTGCAAAGAAGCCAAGGATGTCCAGAAGTCCAAAAACAAGCCACTGGATTTGGTTCCACCCCCCCCCGGCCTGGGATTCGACGCCAGCAGGGTGCTTTTTTTAGGCTGAACCAAACACGCAGCCATGGAAGTCAATTCGAAGGTCGGCATCCCAGTCCAATGTTCGAAGCACGAGCGTTGCGTCTCTCATGTCTTTCCAAGGACAGCCACATGGGCAGAGTTTCTCTTTCCCCCCCCGGAATCAAGGGTTTATCCAAGCAGGGAAACTGCATGATGTTGGCGTAGGCAATTTAGGTGGGGGGCGTAGGCTCGCGTAGGATTTCGCGGGCGTCACTGTTTCGTTTGTCTCCTTTGCGTAGGCGCCCGCGTAGGCAAGATTAGGCAAGCCTGGAATGATACATCGAATCATGGAACCGTGCATGTGTGTGAAGTGGTTGGGAGAGCAGCTACATTGTGGACGTTAGAGATGAGATGTGCATCGTTTGTTTGTTTGTTTTTGTTTGATTCATTCATTCATTCATTCATTCATTCATTCATTCATTCATTCATTCATTCATTCATTCATTCATTCATTCATTCATTCATTCATTCATTCATTCATTCATTCATTCATTCATTCATTCATTCATTCATTCATTCATTCATTCATTCATTCATTGATTCATTGATTCATTGATTCATTGATTCATTGATTCATTCATTCATTCATTCATTCATTCATTCATTCATTCATTCATTCATTCATTCATTCATTCATTCATTCATTCATTCATTCATTAATTCATTCATTCATTCATTGATTCATTGATTCATTGATTCATTGATTCATTGATTCATTGATTCATTGATTCATTGATTCATTGCTTGTTTGATTCATTTATTTGTTGTTTGTTTGTTTGTTTGCTTGCTTGCTTGTTTTGTTTTGCTTTTTTGGGTCCCCTTTTGTTTTCCACTAACCAGGCAAAATAATATGTTTGCTGAGGTCCTAATTCCAGTCGATATATATATATATATATATATATTCACTTGAGCCTGTGCTCCGGCTGGTTTCCCAAAGCCAAGGACACATGCAAGCCAGAAGCTGAAGCGCAGGCCGGTCCCGAATGGACTTGCGTGGATTGGTCAGCTTCGGAGCATGACTTGGTGGTTCAACCAACCATGCGGTGCCTTAGGTTTTAGTGGTTTTTAGTTGGTTTGGTGGTTGGGTTTCCAACTTTAACCAAGTTGTTCACTTTTAGCAGATTTGGGAGCAGCCAAGGGTATTTCCCCTGGTGGCTTTAGACAACTATCGAGAACCGACAGCCCAGCTGAGTAAAGCCACCAGCAAGCCGCGTTTCGCCTGGGCCAGGCAGTTCTGTCTGGAGATGATCCTTTGCCGCTTGGTGCGAAATGTTCTGGTGTTTGGCACTTGGAAAACAGGAAAAAAAGCTAGGCTTGGAGGTCCATCCGAGCAAAACACACAACATATCAGTTTGTTTTCTACTTGGTGGCTTGATGATCCATTGCTGTTTTTTGTTTGGCACTTGGAGGACAGGTTTGGCAACCCCAGCCAGCAATCAACATTCAACTTGTACTGAAGGCAACCCCAGCAACCCAGCAATCAATTCGCTTTGTTTCCAACATTCAACTTTCTGTTTTTCAGCTTCCCCCTTGGTGGCTTGGATGTTTGGAGGTGTTCTCGGGGCTCCAAGTCCCAATCCAAACCACCGAGTAAGGGAGGATCAGTTCACATCCGAGAATGCAGGTTCAACAGCCTCGACGCATGCAAAAACATGTAGGTGTTCTTCAAGGATGGCAGTCGTTGTCATAGATTAACTTATAGAATGATGCTTACGGGATGCTCCTTTGAGAAACTATAGTACAGTAAAATTCCGATCCCCCTATGGCGTTGACGGCCTTGCGTGGCCCTGACATTCCCCGACTTGGCAGCATGGCCCTGTGACTACTTTCTGCGGTTGCCAGACCATTGAACCTAAGTCCCCCAGCTAGGTGCCCTTTTACCTTTTTTTGGGGGGAGGGTTCCCCTACTAAAATAGACTACACAAAAAAGTTGGTACCCTTATTCTAACCTCTCTACTGGAGGACCTAGGAACACTCGACCTTGTCTCTTGTCAAGGACTCCCTCTTGCCTGTCAATGGTGACTTCAGGAATGCCCAGCAATGGGGCGGCCAAACAGCGGGCATGTAAGCACGTGCCCGAAGCAACGTCACTCAGATTGAAACATCCGCAGCACCACGGACGCCTTCTCGCCTTCTCTTTACAGAGCTCGCAGTGCTCAAAGCAAGCAGCAATGCCAGGCACCCAAATCGGTTGGGTCGTTTTGGAGGGACCTTTTCTTTGTCTTCCACTTGCTTAAGAATATTTGTTGTTTTCCCCCGTTCTCACTTCCTGAGTTCATGAACTTTAAACTTTTTGGGAAGACCATTTTAGTGGTAATCAAAAAGTTTGAACTTTTTTTGGGCCATCCACCCAGCCAGTGAGTGTTGGCTTTCAAGGGAATCTATGACTCCTGGATATTTGTTTTATGTTTTCCAGGGGGCTTAAGCAAATAAAAGTTGTGGTTATAAACGGGAAGCCCAAAGGAAGTCTTGCTTTTGAGGGAGCTGGCCCCTGCCATGCACAAATTTGAGAACCGCAGTTCGACGCAGCTTTCCCCGAGGCCGGAGTCTCCGGCAGCAGCCTGGCGTTTACAACTGGCTTGCCCCAAGCAGAGCTTTTGTATGCTTTTGGCCTTTTAGCTTTCCAGGTGCGTTGCTTACAGCTCCCTGAGGGGCAACTGAGTAAGAGCAACCGAAAGGAAATCAGCCGTTTTGGACCAATATACCCCCTGAAAGTGACAAGAGCGCTGGACGAACACGTGGTTGAGGTGGGTGGTTGATCCTTTGGTTTGCATATGTGTTTATTCATTCCAACCGGTGCAAAAGCTAGGTTTGGTGGTTTATGAAACCGGTATGCATGTCTCGTTCAGGCCAGCTGCTGCGAAATGGATTTGGTAACCATCCATTTGCTTAAGAGTATTATTCTATTCTCCCTTGTTAGATTTAAAAGGAATTTATCACTACTGGACATATATTTTTTTTTCCAGGGGTCTTAACCACATGGAAGATTGCGGAACAAGAAATACTGACCTGGGCTCATACTGATGGCTACCAATTCTTGATGGCTTCAATCCCGGAAGTTGGACGAGACGGCTTTGCTAGTGGCTTGCCGAAGCAACTCAAAACGGTGCTACTGTTCAGGTTCTCATGGATGCCCAAACAGCCATCCTCGCAGGAATCTCATGGCTTGGTGGCTGCCAGCCATGCGGTTCCTCAGCTTTTCAGCCTTGTAGTATTTAGTGGTTGGGTTTCCGAATTTAACCCACAAGTGAGTCACTTTTAGCAGGGGATCAGAAATCGGGCAGCCCAGATGGGTAACCGCCCTTGTTGCGGCGTTTTCCGCTTGCGCGCGTTCGGCAATGTTGCGAACGAGTTGCGGCCTTTTGCGGGGGTGCTCCTCACTTTTGCGGCAATTTGCGCTCGGTTGCACGACAGATGTGTGCAAAGCCTAAACCTACCCGAGTTTTCGATCAGAACAAGTCTCGAGGATTGCGAAGGATGTTTGGGAGCTTGTCTCGTTAAGATTGGTCTTGAGGTTACCGCCATACGTCCTTCCAGCATTATATGTATATATATATACACATACATACATACATACATACATACATACATACATACATACATACATACATACATACATACATACATACATACATACATACATGCTTATATATATACATACATACATAGATACATAGATACATACATATATATATACATTTTTAGATATATAGATAGATACATAGATGGATATATAGATAGATACATACATACATACATACATACATACATACATACATACATACATACATACATACATACATACATACATACATACATACTTATATATATATATATACATACATACATAGATACATAGATACATACATATATATATACATACATTTTTAGATATATAGATAGATACATAGATGGATATACAGATAGATACATACATGCATACATACATACATACCTACCTACCTACATACCTACCTACCTACCTACATACATACATACATACATACATACATACATACATAGATACACATATGCATAGATACATAGATATATAAATACATACATACATACATACATACATACATACATACATACATACATACATACATACATACATACATACATTTATACATACATACATACATACATACATACATACATACATACATACATAGATAGATGGATAGATACATACATATATATATATATACACATAGATACATAAATAGATAGATCGATAAATACATATATATATATATATACATGCATACATAGATACATAGGTAGATAGATACATACATACATACATAGATACATACATATATAGATAGATACATACATACATACATACATACATACATACATTTATACATACATACATACATACATACATACATACATACATACATACATACATACATACATACATACATACATACATACATACATACATATACATACATACATATACATACAAACATACACTAACACATATATATATATATATGCAATATTTATCAATCACTTGTCCAGATTCAGATGTCTCCGCGGCTGAGATTCTTGGACTCTGATTCGCTCAGGCGCGAACCTCCATCTCGGACTTCACTGGCTGCTGAACGGCGGGTGAGACATCCGTTTTTTTCCAGCGGCCATCCGAGAGCAAATGGAGTCCAAAACGCCTTTGGTTTGATTTGGGTCAACGTGTGCTACTGTTCTGAGATATTTAAGTGCCTTCTGAAATGGGTAGGCATATGTTTAATGGGTTGTGGGGTTGAACCTCAACCAAGTCTTGGGATTTGGTGGGCAAACAAGTGACAGAGCATACTTATTTCCTCAGTCCACATAGCCCGCAAGCACGGCATTCCAGCCTCTCAACTTCAATTCTAGCAATGGCAGATCCAAAGTTTGTATTTCCCGTTTCTTTTCAGACAGGCCAACAGACAGTGGGAAGTCTCCAAAGTGATTGGTTCGATTCGAATCGGTACCGCCTTTGCATTGGAAAGGCTTGCAGTTGCGTTATACTGCCTTTGCATTCCTGCAATTACTTGGCGTTTCATAGCGAGCTCACCGATCCGGGGGTAGAACGAGCTTAGCATGACAAAGGTCCTTTACTTGGGGATCCCCTAATTCAGCTTTTGGAATGATAGTAACATTTGCAGGATTGGGTCAATCCTGCTTCTCACTTCTTGAGTTTGGTCGCGGATGGAGTCCGACCTTGCTCACCAAGAAGCTCCGACGTTGCTGCTCAGCGCTGAGCCACGCGAATGTGCGGGTTCTCCAAATGGGGTGCCTCCAAATGGTATGGTTTCTTTTGCCAGCTAAAACCAAGACTAGGTTCAGCAGTAGAGCCCTTTTACCAACTTTTTGGGTGGAGGGTTCCTCTACTAAAATAGACTACACAAAAATTAGTTGGTACCTTTATTCTAACCTCTACTTGAGGACCTAGAAGAAGGCAACAGACACATAGGATGTTAAAGAGAGCCTGCCCTTGGACCACTGCAGGTTGCATTCAGCCGAAAGCGGTTCAGCCGAAGAGCTTGCCACCTAATGGGAACCCCGGAAGATTGAGCCCTGGTTGAGGAGCACTCGCTTGCCCAAAGCGAATCGACTGGATCTGCCTACTCACCACAAAAGTTGGCAGCACCCTTACATCCTTCCTGTTTTTCTTCTTCGGCAACCTGCTTGGCATGCTCCAATAGACAGTGGAAAGTTGTTTTTTGGTTTGCTTGATTTGGTCCATGTTACGTCAAGATTCCAAAAGGATAGCCTTATGTCTAGGTCCTTTGGGCAAGTGAGAATGGGGGGGTGTCCCCTTTTAGTGGAGACTCATCACTGTTGGAGGGGAACACCCGCCTAATCATAGGACGGTTTGTTTAGTCCTGGCTCAACTTTAAGCTTTTGTGCTTCTTTACGCAATTAGCACAGTTCGGTACCAAGCTATCCAAGGCTTTTTTTATGCCCTTACGTGGTTCTAGTCACTCATGCGAGATCGGGGTGCATTTCGATAGCTGGTCCTGGGTCACAGGCGACGGGCAAATCTCCGCGCTTACTGAACGAAATGCGCACACGCCAAAACCAGTCAGTATGAAGGCAAACGAAAAGCCCCCCTCCCGCCCCCCACCACCGCACCTCCTTTCACCAGCAGGAACTAAAGTTAGGCCGCCGTTACAAGTCGTTGTTGTATGATGAAGTTTGTACTGTAGCATTTGATATGACGGGCAGTCTCAGACATTCTTTGTAGGCCCTTGTGTCAATCACTTGAGATCTGATCATTCAAACTCACACAGACTTCAGATCGCAATAACTTGCTGGTGCTCAATAAGGAATGAGGGAACGAACCTAGGGGTTTCCTTATCAGAAATCACAAGGGATGGTTTATAAGGCTCATTCCATTTCTCATTCTCTACTGAGCACCAGCAAGATAATGTGCTTCGTTCAAGAATTTTGTTTCCTTACCTTCACCCCGTTGGCAGCGCCTGGGGCGACTGCATCTCGCGGGCGGCAATGGCGCCCTCAGGGGCTGTCCTCTTATGTTTCAGCTCGGCATTGCCGGGCCTGTAGGATCTTGCCGAGAGCTGGACAGCACTGCCGTGGCCTTTGTTGACGACAAGTTAAATCTCAGAGTTCCTGCTTAACAGGGCAGGATAGTTCGTAAGCTGTCAATTACTTTCTGAACCCCCTGGGCTTTAGTCACTTTTGGGGTTCGGACCATTTTAGAGGAAAAACAAGTATATCAACATGGTCAGGCTTTCTTGATCCACTCAGGAGTTGAGTGTAATTTTCTGATTGAGGCAAACCGTTTGAGCTCATTGCCTCGGTTTGCTTTCGCCAGGAAAGATTTGCTGGCCACACCCGCATGCGCTATCGAGTCTCGAGTCTGGATTTTCGGGGAGAATTGGCCGGACTCGTTGGAAGGGAGCCGGACTCGGATGGGGGGTATCCACTTCTGGGTCCCCCAGCTGGGTGCCCTTTTTAACCCCTTTTTTGGTTGGGGGTTCCCCTAATAGACTACAGAAAAAAGTTAGTACCTTTATTCTAACCTCTTTGCCGGGACCTCAGAGCTGATCGGAGATCTGAGATCGAGTTTGGGGAGGGCACTGGACTTTGCTTGCCCCTTTTTTGGGGTTTAAGCACGGAGGTAGGCTGCAACAGAGTTCCCCTGTTGGGCTACTCCAGGAAAGACTCAAACCCAGAAGTTCTCTTTTTAGGGGAAATGAACCGCTGAGGGGTTTAAGTCTACCTTGAGGTAATCCAAAACTGGAACCCTGGGCAATGCATGTTGAACATGTGGCGCCCAAGTTAGTGCAGTGCTGTGCTGGCTAAACTAGCTAGGCCCGATTGCCCGATTGCGTGTCTGTGGGGCAGCCCTTGGCTTTCCGCTGAACGGGTTGTTTGCATGCGAGGAAAGGGAACTCGGGTGTTCGATTCGCAAAGTTAGCCAGTTGTTGGCAACCTAGCTAAAAACTTGTGAGTCCCCTGGGTTAACTCTGTTATAAGGGGGTAATACCCCAAGAATACCCCAAGTGGCTAACCACCTACTAAAACTTCGGCCAGCCCCTGAGGTTTGCCGGCGCCCGGAACCAACGCCCCGACACCAAGACCCGGAGATCACGAAGCTCGGACCCGCCTGAAGCATTTTGTTTGCGCTGCCACTGCTGTTAATATGTCACGATTCCTAAAGCCAAGCGCAGCTCGGCTCATCGAACGCTAGAGGCGGCGGCTGCTTTATGCGTCCTTCGGACAAAGCAAGCCTATACTGCTTCAAAGATTCCAAAACATGCACCAGCCCTGCGCTGCGCAGCAACGCAGAGGCCGCGAGGGCTTGGACGGACTTGGTCTCTTTCTTGGTCGGGTTCCCTCGGCCGCAAAACCGAGGCGTCGCATGGTCTGCTTGATGTGCCCCAGGTAAGATTCCGCGGCATTGTCGCCGCCTGCAGCCCAGAAGTGCCTCGGCCCTTCCTGAGCAGTCGGAACCTTCGTGCTGCTGGCATAGTCTTCTTGCGCAGCCTGCTCAGCCGCGTGAAGATCTTCTCCATGTGGTTGACACCCGGCAATGTAGGAGTGTTCATGGAGCCACCCACTGTCTTCCAAGCCTTGACGCCGCGCCCAATGCTACGCTGAAGTATTGGGGCCACCTCCTTTTTCTTCTCTGTGCCCACGCCATGCCCTTTGCGCGATATGCTTGTCCTGAGCGCGAAGCTTCCCCACTTTTTCGAAGACCGGCCTTTCAGCACCAAAGTCCTGCCCCGATGCTCCTTCTTGGTGGCGTCCTCCGTGCTTGTCTTCTTACTGCCCATGCGGCCAGAGTCCGGCTAAACAATCTCGTCCTTGAACACCAAGTCTCTGCTGCACAAGAGCTGATCGTAGGCAAGGGCAACCTTCATCCCTTGAGTGTACCTGCAAAGCCTGTGCTCAGCAGCTCTTGGCGTCTCATCCGGCCGCCTCACCATGTGAACCCCAGCGTCTGCTGGAATCTTGCACCCCAGCACGTAAGCGCACCGCAAGAAGCACACATAGTCCGCCTCATACCCCGCTCTCGCATGCGATGCTAGAGGGGTGTACACGTGGGCAGTATCGTGCAAGCAAGACTTGTTGTCACACTTGCGTCGGTTGCATCTGCCCACACCCTCCTTCATGTGGAGCTGCTCCCCGCAAGACCAGCAGAAGAAGGTCTGCTTGTTGGCAGCACAACCACCTTTCCTAAAAGTTTTGCAGGGAAGTTTTCTGCATTTACTGGAAACCCATTGCAGCCTTCTTGAGATCTCACAGTCTTCTTGCATACCGCTCTCGAATTGCAGCATGTCGCTTGCATTGGAGCCGGCAAGTGTCCAGACATGGCGTGTGGCCGGAGACGGGGTCTGCCTTTTCAGGGCAGTCTTCCGTTGGCAGCACGACCCATACGGAGAGATTCGAAGGGATGCCTCTTGGCAGTAAATGCCACTGTTTTGAGTAAATGCAGTGTTTCTATGTTTCTTATATTTCTTGTTGTGTCCGTGTGCTTTGAATCTGCGGCAGGGCACTGGGCGTCCTGTGACCAAGAAGGATTCCGATGAGGGATGGGACGGGGCTCAAGCCCTTCGTGCCAAAATGCTCCAGTACCTGGCGGAGAGCCAAGAAATCCGTCAAGAGTTCGAGGCCGGTGTGAAAAGCTGTAATTGCATCTACTGTTCCCCTCCCGTACGTTTAACGGTGCGCAACTGCATTTACCGGTGGCGCTCTAGCCCCTTTCAAGGAACTCCATGGAGAAGAGTGGCTGCAGGCGTGGGAGGCCCGTATGACTCGCCCAAGAGAGTGGGGCGACCACCACTGCCTTCACATCTTGGCAAAAGTCATCCAGAGGCCCGTGGGGGTTCTGGCCAGGAACGAGGACCTGAGCAAGGTCTACGAACACATCCACTGGGCCGGGCCCTGGACGAGAAGGCTGCACTACTTCGACAGTCGACGCCGCTACAACCTCGTGAGTGAGCAGTGGCTCCACACGTCCAGCCCATTGCTGCTGTGGAGGCGGACTACGGGGAGCCTGGCGCCAGAGGGTCACGCCACCTTTCCGAGTGGTGGGTGGACGAGGACAGAGGGTAGACAGAAGGTGCAGTTGTGCGTTTTCTTTGGAGTAACCCTGTTTAAATTGCATTTACTGCTCGAGGATGGCAACCTGCAGCGCCTGGAAGGCTTGGGCGACGAAGAGCAAGAGAAAGA